GAGGAAGAAGAAGGATATTGTTTGACACGTGAAGTGGCTGCGTATGGCCCCACTGCCACATCTACCCCCAGCCGAATGGGAGGTGGCCAGCCGGCCGGTCCCTCCTCGGGCTGTTCGCAAGGTCAGCTCATCAATGAAGATTCGAAGAGCTTTAGGAGGTGGAAGTGGTAGTGGTAGTGGTGCTGTGGTAGAGGTGAGGAACAACAGTAGGAGGAGGAGGAGGAGGAGGAGGAGGAGGAACAAGAGTAGTAGGAGGAAGGGGAAAAGAGGAGGAAAAGGATGTGGTCGTGGTTGTTGTTGTGGTGGTGGTGGTGGTGGTTGTGAAGGAGGAGGATGAGGATAAGGAGGAGGAGGAGGAAGGGTTCCAAAGGGGAGGAAAACGCTGGGAGGAGGTACAAGGGGACCTGAAAGATTGCCGCAGTGAAGTCAATCCCCGCAGAGATGGCGGTGACATGACCTGGGGTCAGATGAGTGAAGGCGAAAGGAGGAGCATAGAGTTTCGTCTCAGGTCAACTCATCGTTTGCATATCTAAAACAGGATCATGTCATTATCATCACTCATGAACATCAACAGCTCTGATCATCATCAGCCATGAACATGTTGTCTTCAGGACGATCAACAACAGCTCAAGGACCTTCGCATCCGGCAGGTGGTCGAATCCTCAGCGGCACCTGACGCTCTACGTCAACTCAGGGGCAGTCAGAGGAGGAGCGTCACCGCAGAGAACATCTTCGACGAGTCCTTCTCATTCTCTTTCCACTGCTTGATCGTCTCCTCCTTGGCCTGACCCAGCTGCAACAAGACTGTCAGCGGCCTTCCTCCTCCTCCTCCTCCTCACCTGCATCAGGTTGTTCGCTCCACAGGCGTACACGTTGCCGTCCTGCGTCAGGACGACTGAGTGGTTCTTGCCCACGGCGACCGACTTGGCCTTCTCCTTGTCCGGCAGGATCATCTTCTGAGGAGTAGTAGAGGAGCTGCACTCCCCGTTACCAAGCTGCCCCTTGCTCCCATCGCCCATGGCGTACGCGGCGCCACCGCTGGTGACGCATGCGAAGTTGGAGTAGGCTGCCTGCATGTCCACAACCTTTCCCGACCCCACGATCTTTCCCCACAGGCCTGAAGGAATGGCGACATTCTCTGTCTTGGATGGATCCTCGTGCGGCCACCGAACGACGCCCCCTCCTCGTAGGAGCGCGTAGGTATGCGTGTCGTTGCAAGCGACCTTCTTCGCAGCCCCGGGGATCTTGGCAGGCTTCGCTTCTTCGATGTCCTTGTTCAAGAAGTCTCCCCAGACCCACACTCGACCTCTCTCATCGCATGCTGCTCCTGCATGCTCGCTCATGCTCATGCTCACAATGTTCTTGTCCCCTCCAAGGAAGCACGGCTTCGGGAGCCTCTCCGAGACGACGCCCTCGTCTCCGAAGGACTTCGCCCCCCAGTACATGAGACGACGAGGCTTCTCCTCTCTCCCTCCCTCGCACCTCGCGTGTCCTCCTCCTGCCATCTTCCTAGCCGCCATCGCGACCGCCATCGCAGCGAGGCCTTGAGCCCCCAGCATTTACGATTGCGCGTCGCGAATCACCCGTACATTCGAAATACAAAAAGGGGGTACCGCTTGATTCAGGGGTGGTTCAGTTGCTCAGAAGAATATTCCATGATCGGGCGATGATGGAAGGAATGATGGCGAAAGAATGGGAAGAATACGCAAGAAAGCAGCTCTTGTACCTGCCCAATGCAGTGAAGGACAAGCAAAAGGCCCGTGAAGCCATTGGCTTCTGCAAGAACAATGCTGAAAGGCTCAGCCTGTCCAAGTATTGGACATGGGAGAACGTGGAGTCCCGCACAGCAGAGCAGAGCTACCGATCCTTCGTGGTGCAGGGAGGCGAGGACGACGAGCTCTTCAGCGATCTGCTGTGTTCGTTCCCCAGCCTCCCGCTGTTCGAAGGCATCGAAATGGACCCGGTCGCCTGGGTCTTCGTCGGCAAGAACATGGTTCCCGGATCTCGCATGAAGGGAAGGCCGGAGCATGTGGATGATGTAGGAGCATCGGGTACAGTACACTGGCAGGTGAGCGGGAAGAAGATTTGGCGCCTCCGTCCCTGCCTACATGCCGAGTGGCCTCGAGGTTCAACAAAACCTTCGCCATGTGAGGTGATTGAGGTAGAATGCGAGGAAAACTCCTTGCTGTTGGTGAACACAAGTGTCTACTATCACGAGACGAAGATACCCTGTACACAAGATGACGCAGATAAAGTCTCGATCTCGATCGCAAGAGAGTTCCACCTTCCTCTCACGGATCAGCTGATGGTCCAGCCAAGAATGCCGATCTGCGGGCGACTAGTCCCTCCCTTCGTGTCGTTGGTGTCAGGCTCCTTCGAGACCCACCACTCAATCTGTGCCTGGTGCAGAACGCCGACCGGGATCTCAACAGGCCAGAAACCATGGCAGAGCGCAGCTTGCGCTTGTCTTTGCTGCATGATGCGAAAACAGATCAAACGGGAGTTATCCTACTTGCTGAACACGAGTGCTAACTTCTCCCCGTTTTTTACGTGGAAGTGCAGTGAAGGAGTTGGAGGGAGAAGAACGAATGTAGCGAAGTGTGTCAGTACACTACAGAAAGATTCGAATGGCCTCAGGAAGCTGATCTTGCAGGTCCCGAGGCCAAGGCTGCTTTCTTCGAACCGATAAGTTCGCCAAGGAACATTGAATTCAGAAAGGACACATGGATTGATGGTATTGTTCAGCTCCTTTGGTGAGTTTTTCTGGTTCTTGTATATTAAATCATTTCAGATCTTTGAAGTTGTTTTGGTCTATTTCGATGGGATAAGTCTTCCCCGGAGATTGCTGCACAGGTATCAGGACGAGCAGCAAAATCATGACGATTGGAGACCTTGGCGTTCCTCAAGTCCTGCGACGAGACGGTCCCCCAATCCAGCTGATCATCAAACGTCACGTCGTCCAACCCAGGCTCGTTCTGCAGTCGGCAATCTGCGTCAGAGAGGGAGGAGAGCGGCATGACGGCTCACCGAAGGAGGAGGGGGAGGATCATAACTGTGGATCTGAATGATGGGCCATGGAGATTGGCGAGGGCCCTTAGGATGGTGGCAGTTCAACCTGAGCTGGAGGAGTGTCAGAACAGGGCCCTGCTGGTCACATCCTTAACCTCCTTCCCCTCGGACGCCCACTTGAGGAGCGGGTCGGTGAGTTGTGTCTGTACGAACTTCTCGAACCCTTCAGCGTCATCGAGCATGAAGTTTGAGGCGATCATCATAGTGTTCCCCTCCCCCCCTTCCACCAGGGTTGCCACCTCCTTCCAGAAAGCCTCCTCAAACACGTCAGCCGCTGCATGCGGCATGAAGCAGACTTCACCTGCTGCAGCTCGAACTGGTGCTCAGCGGGTGTGACGGTGTAGCGCTTGACCGAGAGGAGGATGCGGCCGATCTCCACAAAGTCCTCCTCGTTGTCGATGTGGTAGATCATCAAGTTCTGAAACCAGTCAAGAACCCTGTTCATCACCTGCTCGGGATTTCCGGTCACCTACGCTCAACCGTGCCAGTAGCTAGTACCTGCTGCTCTGAGACGGTGGACCGTGCGGCCTGGGAGCTCGTGGGACCCAGCTGCCTCTTGAAAGTGAAGCAGGGCTGAGGAGCGCTCTCGAGCACGCTGAGGTCAGAGAAGCCGCACGCCGACTTGAGGTGCTTTGCCATGTCGTCAAACTTGCTGCCTGCACTCTTGCAGTTGGGAGCCACGAAAACGACCTGGGAGTCCTTCTTTCCGCCGCCCAATGACTGGGAGAAGAAATCCGACATGACCGTGGCGTCAGTCTTGGAGGCTGCGCACACGTACTCGCAATCTTTTGGCGCGCCGTTCCATTCCTGCACAGCCTTGATGGCTGCCTCAGGCAGGATGCTCGCCATTCTCAGAGAAACCCCCCTGGATGCCTGCGATCTCAGCCCCTTCATCTCGAGCAAGTGAGACGCTGCATGGACCGATGGGATCATGAACGCGATACCTTCCGCCATGCATGCGCACAGAAGCAGCGCAATCTCCAAGCATCGCGCCATGGCCTCCCCCTACAACCCCTACCTTTGACTACCCCCACCCTGTGATTCCTTAGTATTCACCCACCCGTCTCACCCCCCGGTCATGCACTACCCTGAATTACAGCTAGACAAGTACCCCTTCTGTCCAAGGACTTTTACAGGTGACCGGGTCTGCCTCAAAGCTTTCGAACAACCAAGAAGAGTACAAGATCTACAAGTCTATTAGAGGTTGCCACTGCCTCATGTATCTCGCTGAGGCGGATTGGTTCGTTGATTCAACACTCAGAAAGGATCAGTATCACTGGTGACAACTGCAGCAGCGCCCTTGCAAACATCTTGCAGATTTATTATCAAAGGAATAATGTCTCGAGCTCTTGACGTCGCTCAAACCCAGTCTCTGGGGTTGCGGAACACTTCCAACACCTCAGCCTCCTTGGAACCCGGCTCAGGCTGTTGCAACGGTCAGCACAAGGAAGCGGCCTGCCGAGGTGGAGCCTTACCCTGTGATCGTACTCCCACCTGGCAGTCTCGGGAAGAGACATGAGGATAGACTCGATGCGCCCACCTTCACCGCCAAGTCACATACAACTCACCACCAACAAACTCAGCTTACCGGTCTTCAATCCAAAGATGGTGCCACGGTCATAGACCAGGTTGAACTCCACATACCTTCCACCTGCCGTATCAGGATCAATCCGAGTCGTATGCGACATCCGACGGCTAGCAGCGACAAGCACCCACGTCTCATCAGTTGCCACTCCTTCTCCTTCTGGGTGAAAGGGTCGTTCTTGTGGGCCTCGACGATGGGCAGGTATGCCTTTGGAACGTTCATCGCACACTCCTGCATCGGACAGGATCAATCCGAGCTGAGGATCCTCTGCCTGCCAGACCTTTGCGAACTCGAAGATCTTCTCAGGATCTCTATCATTCAAGTCATCGAAGAAGATGCCGCCAAGCCCTCGGGTCTCGCCACGGTGCCTGCAAGCGAGATGTGAGCAGGGCCATCACAGCTGCATCGACAGGGACAAGCGGGGGAGAAGCAAAGTCAGAAAGTTGAGTGAGTGGCGTTACTTGATGAAAAAATATTCGTCTGCCCACTTCTTGAACCTGACAGTGACACGTCAGCAATGAAACGAAGGAAGAGGCTCATCCTCACTTGGGGTAGAACTCAGGGTCGTGCTTGTCGCAGACCTCCTTGTAGGTGCCATGGAAGTACTTCATGTCGTCAACATTGAGGTAGGCGGGGGTAATGTCGGTTCCTCCTCCGAACCACCAGACTCCTCCCTCAGTTTCCTGCACGCCGTCAACTTGTTGCCCGTCTGCTACAGCACTCTGACTCGTCACTCACAAAGTATCTGTAGTTGAAGTGCATGGTTGGGCAATGAGGATTCTTAGGATGCATGACCTGCAGTCCGAATCCTTCAGTGGACCAGCACGGCATCAAAGCCTCGTGTACCGAGCTCAGACCGCAGGCAAAGAACGGGACTCTCTCGCCAGGAGCGTACCCCTTGGCACGGTCGGTGGCGCCAAATTTGAGACGATCGTTGGCAGCCTGCAGAGTAATCAGCTCAGCTCAGCTCAGCATCCTCTTCCTTGTTGGCATCTCACCTGCAGAGCTTCCGAAGGCATGCTTCCGTACACAACGGACAAGTTGCAACCCGCTTTCTCCCAGACCTGTTCACTCTGTCATCAACCTTGTCTCGCTCACCTTGCAGCCATACCTTTCCGCCCGTCAACACCCTGGAGATACCTCCTCCGCCTCCCTCACGAGTCCAAGCATCTGTCTGGAACTTGGCGCCTCCATCAACATTCTCGACCGACTTGCCTGTCGAAAGGTCAGTCATCAGACTGCATCAGACTGCAGCATGAAGAGCTCCGCCGCAGAGGGACAAGATCGTATCAGAGATGATGAGAGATCAACAGACTTACAAATGTAATCCTGAGCTTCTCTGAGCATCTTCTCGAACTTAGCGCGCATGGCAGTGTTGGCGGTGCCATCCCTGCATAAGGTGTCCGGAGCCTTATCAACAGCCTGAAACAAGTCTGAGTCTGACGAGCAGCACATTGACCATCAAAGCTCTGTCCTCTCACCTTGTGGCTGTCGAAGCCGAGCCCCTCTGACTTCTGGTCCGGCTTCGTGGCCGTAGCGCGCAGGGCTCTAGCCCAGGAAAGAGGATATGCTCTGCGAGACTTGGATACAGAGGAGGCAAAATTTGTCCTGATGCCAGACAGGGAGGAGGGAGAGGTGACGTATGCCGAAGAGAGCGCAGCCTGCGCCAGGAGCGCGAGGGGCAGGAGGGCGGCAGCACCGCTCATCCTGCAGGGAACTAGCATGGAGGCCGTCGTTATCTCGTCAGTCTTGCTACAGGCGTAAAAAGGGGTCGGGCCATCCCCTGAATTAATTCCAATGCGTCGGGCCAACCCCATGTTCACTGGCAATGTCCCTGACCACATCCCCCAACTGACCATCGGGCGCGCGCCATGGACTGCGCCATGGAACGCAACAGAGGGGGACGGGATGGACATAGGATGGGCAGGGCAAAGTGAAAGTTAGGATAGGCCAGAAGACAGGAAGAAGATAAAACGACGCGATGATGATGCTAGAACGGCATTCCAGCAAGAGGAAGGTGGAGTTACTTGTTCTGTTCCTGTTTCACGCTATCTCCGACATCGGGATCGTTTGGTCTTCAAATGGATTGCGTTTTGCACAACCCGCGTTTCCTCATCTCTCCTCGAAGATCTTGTGCCAACGTCTCTGTTTGCCTGCATGTTCAACGCACGAGCATGCATCGCAGGAGAGGTCAGAACTATCAAGCGCTGAAACACATTGCCTTCCCCCGAAGCAGAGCCATACTCGGATGCCTCAAATGCGACTGAGAGGAGGATCACATACATTGGTTCAAACTAAAAGTCATACGATAGGAGAGGACATCCTCGGCGATGGAGGAATCATCAAAAGAAAGATCCGAAATTCGACTTCGGACGCATCTCCCAAGACGGACGACTTCGTTTACATCCACTACCGTTGCTACAATGCGAGCTCAACAGTCCCTTTCGATGACTCTCGAACTAACGACGAGAGGAACAACGAGCCGTTCGGGTTTCTTCTGGGCAGGGGAGACGTCATGAAGGCATGGGAGATCGCCGTGTCGACCATGAAGGCGGGCGAGGTTTCACTCTTCTTCATTCGGAATGAGTACACGTTTGCTGCCGACGGGAGCCGGTTGAAAGGATTGTTCTCTCTCGCATCTCCCAACCATGCTAAGGCTGTCCCGCACGACGCAGACATCCTCTGTGAGATCGAGCTGGTGGAGTTCGGAAGGGGAAGGTCCTGCACCAAGGACAGGAAGGTGCGCTTGTTCGAGCTCGCAGATCGTGCTCCGCTGCCGACGTTCGACCGCCCTAAGTTCCAGTACATCGACGAGGTTGAGCTGAAGTTGTCTGTGAGTGTTGCAGGCGAGAAGCTCATCGAGCATGAGGAAGTCCCTGCTCGGTATCCGTTCGGCAGGGGAGTCTTGCCTCCCGGCCTCGAGCTGGTCATCAACGAGTATCTGTTCCCCAACGTAACCACAAGGTTGCACCTCGTTGATGAGTGGGGCCTCAACTGCTCGCTCTTCCGAAACATGTCCTCGACGAGGAGAGACCTGATGCCGACAGCGGACATGTCGGACACGAGCTCGGCGGTTGTCATGGACGTCAACGTTACGCTGGTGGACTGGAACACAAGATATCCAGTCGATGATCTCCCCTCAGGATGGATCAAGTGCGTAGGGTTGCAGGCTCGGATGTGGTCCGCGGCGTCACTGGAGGAGGCACAGTGGAGGTGGGACAGTCACTGGACAGGACAGCTCTACGATGAGATTATAGATGATGGGACTGAGACGATACTGTCTTTCCGGATGCGAGCGATCAAGAATTCGAGCCACGTAATCCTCTACCAGAGGAAATTTGTCGAGTGCGAGATCGGGGACGGGAGGCTGCCTGCTGCGGTCGAGATGTCGCTGCCGAGGTTGAAGGTCGGGCAGAGAGGAACGATCTCCTTCTCCAAGGCTTCGGGTTTGTACCGCTGCAGGGACGCGGAGGAGGAGCTGGAGAGTTTGCTCGAGACTGCGTCGGACATGGCAATGATCGAGTTCGACGTGATCGTACATGCTGCGGTCAAGAGCATGGCAGCTTCCAACCTCACCAAGAAGCTCCTCATGGCCAATGAGAGAAAGCTCATCGGCAACAGATTCTTCAAACTGGGCCTGACGTTTGCGGCGGAGAACAAGTACAACGTGAGCAATCTTTGACCCTGGATTTCTTGATTCTTGTCCATCCTTCTCTTCCACTTCATCTCCGTCCTCATATCTTCAGTGCTGATTTCTGTTTCCCGCACTCCTCTTTGCTATCGCTGTTGTCTTGTTTACGACCTCAACTACCTCCTACTACTCGACTTTCTCCTCCTCCTCCTTCTCCTCCACTCTGACAGTCTTTTTGCAGGCTGCCATGCTTCACTTGAACTTTGAGGAGCTCGAGAACTCCGATGAAATCCTCGACGCCACCACATACGAAGTGTCAGCGATAGAAGACGCAGAAAAGAAAGAACTAATGGAGGCTCAGGGGAATGTCTACTTGAATCTTGCAGGTTTTCAATACCCTCCATCTCCTCCTTCATCCTTGCCTTCTTGTATTCTTCACTTGCTTCCTCTCTCTTCCCCCCCGTCCTCTTCCTCTTGCTAACTTTGTTCTGCCCGCAGCATGCCAACGCCGTCTAGGCAATCCAAATCTCGCCGTCAAGTTCTGCGATCTCACGCTCGACATTTCTCCTCGCCTCTCGCAGCAGCTCCGCTGCAAGGCGAACAGATGGAAGGCGCTCGCCCTCCTAGAGGACGACAAGTATGAGCTGGCCAAAAAGGCGGCCGAAAAGGCGGCCGAGATTGACCCCGACAACGAGGAGGTGCTCAGTATGCAGCGAAGGGTCGTAGCACATCACAACGAGCTGATGAAGAGGTGAGGAAGTTGGATGCTGTTTCTGTCGCTGACTTCCTGATGTTTCATTGCACAAGGCAACGGAGCACTTGGGGTTCTATATTTAAGAAAAAATAAAGAGAGAGAGAGAGAGAGAGAGACTAAAGAATGAATAGCTAGACAAAGAAAACTCCAACCTAAACTTGTCAAACGTTGAAATTCCCTTCCAATTCTATCTCCTTCTTACTTAGCGTTATCACTTTCATTGCTTCCAAAGGCACTTGCTCAAAAATTTCTTTCAGTTCTTTCTGCTCTTGCTCTTGCTCTTGCTCTTGCTCTAGCTCTTGCTTTTGACCTCTGCAAAGATCCTGCTCCTGCTCCTGCTCCTGCTCCTGCTCCTGCTCCTGCTCCTGCTCCTGCTCCTGCTCCCTTGCCCTGCGCTGCTTCCTCTGCTGGGTAACCTTGATAACGTTTTCAGCTCGACCGTGAAAGACCTTGAGCTTGCCTATACTCGCATCCATGGCCTTGTTGATTCCATCTTGCACGTTGGAGGGCAGGAGGCTACCGAAGACGAGGAGGACGAGGCCAACGAACATGGCGTACCACAGACAGTCCACCCGATGCAGCATCCATCCTCCGCTGCCTTCACCCATGGGAGTAGAGACGGACAGGCAGAAGACGAGGGTGTAAGTGAAGACACCAGAAAGCATCGACATGGCTGCCCCGACCGCCGTCGCTCGCTTCCAGTATATCCCCGCGGTAAGGGGCCAGAAGAGGCCGACGAGGAGCCAGACAGAGCTGAGGTTGACGAAGTCTGAGATGCTCTCCATGGCAAAGGTAAAGCCCCATGAGACGAGCGCGAAGACGACGGTGGTGATGCGGCTGTACTGCAGGAGCTTCGACGGGTCCGAGTCAGAATAGTAAGGGCGCATTATATTCATCGAGATCAGCACGCCCGCAGCAAGGAGGGTGCCGGAGGACGTCGACATGATGGCGCTGGTGTAGGCGGCGTAGAACAAGACGTTAGTCACGTCGTCTGTGTACTTCTTCATCACGTCGAGGATCAGGCCTTCGTCGAGAGCTGATATGTCTGCCTCCTCGCACCCCATAACGTTCCCGCAGGTAGCGAGGTAATATTCCTTCCTCGCCACGAGCCCGATGAACAGGGGCATCTGAGCGGCAACGATGTAGAGGCAGCCGGCAACGATTGAGGCCACGACCGCAAAGAAGGGCGAACGAGCTGCGTTCATCCTCTCATAGATGTCTTGCGAGGGAATAGACCCGATGCCGATATAGCTCCATTGAGCAATGAAGTTGAGAACGCCGCGGAAGGGACCGTAATAGTCTCCCTCCACGCCCACATTTGGCTGCATCCTCTCTTGATAAGTTGAGTAGGCCCCAAGAAATGTAGTCTCTGTCCTCCCCCCCAGCTCTACCGAAGCGATGATCAAGCACACAACGATCACGATACTCTCAAACGTTTCTGTCCATGCCACTGCAATCATCCCTCCTCGAAAGGTGTACAGAGTGATGAGGCCAGTCATGATAACACTTCCAAGATCCTTCTGCATCCCCCACGTTCGATCAGCGATCAGTGAAAGGCCTTTGATTTGTCCTGCGGTCCACATGAGGTATCCTATAGTATTGATGATCGCACTCAGTACGCCGACTTTGGGTCCGAACCTCTCGACGTAGAAGTCAGACAGCGTCAAGTTGTTTGTCTTGTAGAGAGGTCGAGCATAGAAGATCCCGTAGAGTATCAAGCACAGCGCTGCTCCGTAAGGGTCAGCAACGACATCCCCACTCAGTCCCCCTGCCGCCATATTGAACGATGCGCCCAGAGTGGCTTCTGCTCCAAAGAACATGGAGAACATGGAGGAGACCGTGACAAAAAGAGGCAGACTTCTTCCTGCGGCAGGCAGAGGTTGGGAATGGCACATGACACGTCAAGTTTTACCTGCCAGGACGAAATCCTGTACGTTTGTAATGTGCTTGGAGACGTAGACACCAATAAGCAGCGTCAGGAACAGATAAGGTATCGTGAACCCAAAGACAGCTGCATCGAAGCTGGACATTCCCCAAAGCTGAGAGCCTCTCGTGCGGTTCCGAAGGATGTTGAAGGCCCAGGACAGGAGGAACAGAAGCTGTTGCAGGGGAGTGTGCGGGGGGAACGCTGTGTTGAAATCGCGAGTTTTCGTGACTCTGGTTTTGTACCCCCTAGACCTCCGGGTCCTAGGAAGATGGAACCCTTTTGATCTGCATATCATCATCGAGGCTCGTAACCCTACATTAAGACACTTTTGAGCCGTGACGTGGCAGGCGGGCCCGCCGGGCCCGCCGGTTTGTCCGTACCCGGCCCGCCCCAGCTCTCGATCCGGAAATGGTTATGAGCGGGGATGTGGTTTCGTCATGACGTCGGCCAGAATATCGCTATGTCCAGCAGAAGATAAAGGAGGAAGGGAAGGGGCAGGAAGAAGAGCAGGAGGAGCAGGAGGAGCAGGAGGAGCAGGAGGAGCAGGAGGAGCAGGAGGCGCAGGAGGAGCAGGAGGAGGAGGCAAAGATTTGGTGACGAAGGAAGAAGGAAATAGATGATACCTTTGAGGAGTCGAAGCTTCAGCTGCTCTAATATGAACCTAATGGTGGCCCGCTATGGGCCGGTGTATTGGTATACATGTTCCAATCAGAGGAGGAAGGGAGAAGATAGGATGCACGTAATGCTAGATAACAGAAGATTTTGATATTGTAATTTTGAAGCAAGATGATGATGAGAACATGGGCATGAATGGAGTTTCTGTTGCGATCACTGTCGCAAATACCCAGGAACAAACATTATCCTGGTTTCGAAAGCAGCATGAATGAACAAGGAATCGATCAAGGACCAAATTAAAGGGATACAGGGGCATGCATCATCGTTTGATCCAGAATCCTTGCATTGTAGACGAGAGAAGTGAATGAGATGGCGTGTGTAATTTTGCTGAGAGGAAATGAGCTCGCATTTTCTCTGATTGACTCCTGATGGCAGTAGCTTGTCGGTGTACGGGAACATGAGCAAGAAAGGTGCGACATTGCTTTCATCTTCGCTAGCGTCTTCGTAAAGATGTCACAGGCGGGTCGATCGTGTACTCGCTGATTGCAAGAGAGACGGTTATCCTCGCCGAATATGCAGCAGGGACTGGAAACTTTGCCAGCGTCACCCGCAAGATCCTGGAGAAGCTGCCGGGAAGCGACAGCAGGATGTCTTACGTGTGCGACCGTCACATCTTTCACATCATGGTGTTTGACGGTCTGACATACATGTGCATGGCTGAAGAGGACTTCGGGCGGTGAGAAGAGGAGAGGAGGCAAGTGCGATGTGAAGGTGAGAGGCGTGGCAGGCGTGTAGCCTTTTCCTTCCTGGAGGATATCAAGAACAAGTTCCAGAGCTCCTGCGGGAGCCAGGCAAAGACAGCTCTAGCATACGCGTTCAACGAGGAGTTCAGTCGCGTGCTCTGCAAGCAGATGGAGTACTTCTCGTCCAGTGGTGAGATGGACAAGATCGACAAGGTGAAGGCGGAGATGGACGACGTCAAGAATGTCATGGTGGACAACATCGAGAAAGTTCTGAAGCGCGGGGAGAAGATCGAGCTGCTGGTGGACAAGACGGACAACCTGAACCAGCAGAGTATCAGGTTCAAGAAGCACAGCTCTCAGCTGAAGCAAGCCATGTGGTGGCAGAACGCCAGAATGATGATCTTTGTGGGTGTAGTCGTTGCTGTTGTGTTGGCGATTCTGATCTACTCAATGAGCGGCCATTGAGGGGGAAGTGGCAAGGGGGAGCAGAGCGATAGTTGGATCGTGTTGGCACCTGGTAGGGGGAGGAGGATGGGGAAACGCAAGAAATCTCGAAAGGTAAAATAGCTTGGCTAGCACAGGTACATGGTTCTAACTAAAACAACACAAAACCGCCTCCTCTCCCTCAAAAGATGAACTTGGGGCTCTTGAATCCCATCGTAGTCAGTCGGAGGGCAGGAGAGCTCGCGTCGCTCTCTCGCCCGTAGGCACTTCCAATCGATAGGCCTGTCGCTCCTGTGTAGCAGTGAGGAGGACAGGAAGAGGACAAGGTGGGAGGGAGAGGAAAGTTGGGGCAGGGGGGGATGAAAAAGTGGGAATGGAGGGAGATAGCAGGAAGGAGAGAGTTACCGCTGGCTTCGCTTCTATCTAGCTTCTCAAACTCTTCGAGCGGGGGGATTGAAGTGTAAGAGGCAGTCTCAGATATGTCGCCAGGAGAGATCTGGAGGTTGATCGAACCAACGCGAGGAGAGAGCTTGTGCTTGTCGTTGCCAGGAGTCGACATGAGGCCGAAGGTGGAGAGCTGCTGGGGTGCCCGATTCCTCTCCTATAGACAGCAGACATCGATAAGCAGGTGAAGACCAAGGGTTGACCGGGGGAGGGAAGCGGAGAGAGAGAGAGAGCGCGCGCGCGGGCGAGGAAACGAGGAGACAGAGATGGATGGTGACGAGAGAAAGCGAGGGAGACGGAGACGGAGGGAGCGCGAAGGGAGAGGAACATGAAGCTCGAGAGAAGACAGGTGCTCCATACCTCGCCGTTGGTCCACAGCGACGCCGTTGACATGTCAACACTCATGGTGTGCTGTACGTCCATCTCCGAGTGCCGCTGGATGTGCGAGATGTCGCTGAGCCGACGAGACTCTTCGCTCCTCTGATGCGACGACTCCATCTCCTCCATCCTCCTCTGCACCGCATCGAAGGCTGCACGTGCCAGCCTTGTCGCCCTCTCCGCGTCGTTGTTGCAGTGGAGGAGGAGGCGTCTTGCCGTGTGCTCGGTGATGCCGGACCCAACGTTAAGGATGACTTCCCTCACCTTGCTGTCCTCACTCACTAGCGGAGCTTCTTCTGCCTGCGAGTATCTCGACTCGAGTTCCTTCAGCTTCCTCAGTAGCTCTTCCTTCTCTCCCGCCAGCTTCGCCATCTCCTCCTGATCCTCAAGCCTCGCTACCTCCGTCAGCCTCAGCCGGTCTCTCGTTTGCTGCGCACGGAAGGTGAGAAGGCAGTGCATGAGAATGTGGAGAGAGCAAGGATGAGAAGGAGCACCGGGAGGGAGGGAGGGAGGGAGGGAGGGAGGGAGGGAGGGAGGGAGGGAGGGAGGGAAGATAGGATCAGGAAGCTTCATCTGCTTACCTCGAGCTGTTCCTGTAGCTCCTGCTTGTCTCTGCTCAGCTCCTTGCGGATCGTCTCCACACGCTCCTTCAAGTTCTCCTCCACCTGCTCTGAGTCCCTCGCTGGGAGCTGCGCGATGGCCCGCTGCAGCGCCTGCTTTTCTGCCCACATGGACTGCATCAGCCGATCCTTCTCCTCCATCGCAAGGACCCTCTCCTCGTCCAGCTGCGCCTGTCCCAAACGTGTCATCGCCCCTCGAGCACTCAGAATTGCACGCGGCACCCGCAGGTACTCGATCTGCTCCTGCAGCTCCACCCGCCTCGCGAGCTCTTGTTCTAGCGCTTCCTGTAGGTTGACCACCCCGTTCTCAAGCAAGTCTCTCTCCTTCACCGCCCTGCTGCAAGTCAGCTGAGGTCACAGGGAAAGGCACAAGACCTCTTGAGCAGTACACTGCTGTTCTCAAGCAGAAACTTTCCTCGCTCTGAAGGATTGGCCCTGTGGTATTTCAGGAGCAGAAGAGCGAGACCAAGGGAGATGGGGGAAAGAAGGGCTGAAGGAGCAGAACTTGAGCGCTTTCACGGAGGACAATAGGAGAGGCTGGTGAAAGAATCGCACGGAAGAGGCTTTGAGATGTCGAGAGACGCTCGGCTCGGACTCTCCGAAGAGCTAAGGAGGGTCAGATTCATCAACCCATCTCAGCGTCGTCTCACTTGACGGAGTTGTCGGCAAGCAGGAAGCGGGGCTCCCGCAGGAGCTGCGAGCATGCTTCCTCGTAGTGGGCCTGATAAGAATCAGGCCAGAAGGGAGGAGGGAGGGGGACCTGAAGATGATCCAGCTGACGCTCTAGTTCCTTGTTCCTGTCCATAGTCTTCTCTTGCTCAACCTATTGCCTGATCAGCTCTCCCTCTCCCTCTTCTCTGCAGACCTGGCATTCCCACACTCTCGTGTGTTCCTCATTGATCATGTCCTGCAAACCCTTGATTTGGCCTCTCAGCCTTTCGACCTCGTTGCTCTTCCCCTCCTTCTCTTCACGCAGCTCCTTCAGCTTGCCGCGCAAGGTATCGATATTCCTCTCCGTGGAGGACAGCAGCGCGTCCCCGTTGTTGAGAAGGTACTGCGTCGCCAAGTTCGCTTGCTCTTCCCGCGTTTCGTATTCAGAGATCTGAAGGCAATTCAGCGGAGGAAGCAGAGAGCTGGAGAGGGGAGCTGAAGGAGATAAGGATCAGCAGGATGAGAATCTCACTCGTCGTTGTAGATTTTCGATCCTCTTCGCCATCTCTTTGATCTGAGATTTAAGAACTTCTTGCAGGTTGGACGCGAAAGTCCTTTCTTGCTCCGTCTCCATCAGGTATGAAGCAAATTCCTGCACGTGCATCAAGCGAAGCAGAGACAGAGAGGATAGTGGGGGAGGAACCTTCTGCTTGCGCTGGAAGTCTTTCTCCATGCACACAAACTCATCTTTGAGGGCTTTTAGGTCGCACTCAAGCTTCCTTCTCTTCGTTCTCTCCGCTTCTGTCTGCCACATCTGATGCTGCAGCCGCTGCTTCACGTCCTCCATCTCTGTCTTGAGCATCTTCGCTCGCTCTACTCCCTTGGAAGGCGTTCCTCCCGGGCTGACCCCCAGCACTGTCCGCATAGCAAAGTACTGCAAAGAAGCTAGTAAGAAGCTTGCAACCGCAGGAGGGGTTAGCGAGGAGGGTTGGAGGCAGACGGAGAGGCGGGAGAGAGGAGAGGCCAAAAGGATGCAGCATCGACCTGCTCACAGACGTAGTCGCTCTTGACGATCCTTTGCTGGGCATCGGAGAGCTTGAAGTCCATGCCCTGCAGCTGAGCGTAGACCGCGTTGAGCTCCTCCTGCTTGTGCCACAGGCTTCTCTTGAGCTCTTCGGTTGCATCGTCCGTCTCTTCCCGCCACTTGAACGCTTGCAGCAGCTTGTCCTCAAGTGCAGCATTCTGAGCGTCGGCCTCCTCCAGCATTTCCCGCATGCTCTGCATGTTCTCCTCGCTCTCCAGTAGCAGATGCTGGTACTCTTCGGACTGACTGGAAATCTTCTCCTGCTGCTCGCGGTACTCACGAAGATTGCAACAGGCTTCCTTCAGCGTCCTGCAGAGATCAAAGGATAGGGTTTCCATGGAGCTAATCAATTCCTCCTCCTCTGCCTCTGTCTGTCCGAAAGAAGATAGTTGTTGAGACGGTTGAGTGCTTGAGCGTGTCGATCCGACACGCTCCTGTAGAACAAGCAAGTCTCGCCTAAGGCGCTCGTTCTCCCTGCTCTTCTCTGTCATCTTCCTCTGCATCTCCTCCATGATGGTCGCCATCTGCTCCTCCACCCCTTCCAACGCGTTGATGGAAGCGCATTTCTCCATTTCAAGGTCTTTTGCTTTCTCGTAGATTAGAGCCATCTGGCTCCTCATCCTGCCCACCCTCTCGTCTCGCTCTCTGCTGAGTTGCATGGCTTCCTCCTCCACACGCTCGAACGTGCTCTCCACCTGCTGTAGCATGACGTCCAGCATCGCAAGCCCCTCCTGCTCTTGTTGATGCTGCAGACCACTCTCAACCATCACGCTCTCACTCCTCAGCTGCGCTGCCTCTTCCTCTGCTCGCACCTCCGCGACTCTCCTCCCCAATGCTGATACCACGCCTTCGAGCCCATCGAAGAGAGATGACAGCAGGTCCACGTGATCGGAATAGGCAGTGCAGAGCTCTACGAGTCCAGTGTTGCTGTCCCTCAGCTCCTTCTTCTCCTTCCTGCTCAACTCCAAGTGGTTGCGTAGGGAGGAGATCTTGCTCTGCATTTCTCCCAGCAGGGATTCTTGATCCCGAAGCTCGCTCGACATCCTTCGCAGCTCACGGACTTCACGTCGGGAAGCAGCAAGCTGATCTTCTTTCGCTCTCGCTTCCTCATGGAGCCTGTCGATATGCGCAAGGAGTGACTCCTTCTCGTCGCTAGAGGTCCTCTGCAGTGCCAGGATCTCCTGCAGGTATCATCATGAGAGAAGAATGACGATGACAAAGGGGAGCAGATGGTTATGGAGGGGGAGAATGTAAAGAGGATGAAATAAAGACAGAAAGTGGGAAAATCACCAGCTTGAGGGAGTCAGCTGACTCAAGGAGGGCGCTGAGCTCGGAATCGTGCATCTTCTTCATCTCAGATTTCTCGTGCTACAGTTCATGTCACAAAAGAGTCAGAGGGTGTTGAATGGACCTCAAGCTCCTTCTCCTTCTCCGCTGCTCTCTCGTTCAAAGCGTTCAGCTGCAGGATTGCTTCCTGAAGCTCCTGCTTCTCCTCTCCCAGCTGCTTCAGTCTGATGGCTGCTCGCTCTAGAGCGCCCTTCAACTCCTCGATGGAGGAGTCCGCAATTTGAAGATTGGTTCGCGTCTACAACACAACCCATTATGCGCGAGCTAGCAAGGCTACAACTCGTTACCTCCTGGATTGAGTTGATGGACTCTTGGCCTTCCTGCTCGAAGCAGTCCTTCATCGACTCAACGTGCACTTGAGTTTGCAAGAGCTCCTCCTTCAAGATTGTCAACAGCACTCTCTCCCCCGCTACAGCCTCCTGCATCACCTTCAGCTCTTTCAGGAACGTCGAGGACTTGAGAAGGAGATCTGTGAGTTCCTGTTGAGGACTGTGAATCACGTGCAAAAAAAGGTGCAGCAGGATACAGAGTTCTTGGATCTCTCCACTTCCAGCTCCTCTTCAGTTGCAGCAAGCTTCTCTTCGTAGGAAGAGAGGGCTGAAGTCTTCTCCTGCAGATGGAGCTGCGCAGAGTTGAGCTGCTCGCTCAGCTGGTTGAAATTCTCTTTGTGCCGATCGAGTTGGACATTCAAGCTTGAGATTTCCTCCTGGTGTGAAGAGAGTCGAGCAGAGAGTTGATCATTGAACGTGATAGATTTCTGGATCTCCTCTCCCTTGCTCGCTAGGAGGATTTGCGCATGCTAAGAACACAGGCAGCCGGTCAGATACGCAACAATGTAAGCTTCAGCGGACCTGAAGCGCTTCTTCTTGTCTCGCTCCCTGTAGCTTCTGATCCATCACATTCTGTTCCAGCACCTCCATACTCGACTGAGTCGTTGCCACCAGCGAAGTGATGGACGTCAACATCGTTGAGCATTCTTCCAGATAACGGTTTGTGATCTGCATCTCGTAGTCCTTGGTGGCGTTGTCGTTGATGAGATCAATCAGCCTCTTCTTCTGATCGGAAATCTCCAGATTAAGACGTGCAATGTCTTTCGACTTCTCCTCCTCCTGTTTCTTTGACGCCGAGACCTCTTCCTCCATCGCGGACTTCTCACGCTGTCACCAACATCAACGGCTTGTCTCATCGACAAATCATCTCACCTCATTGCGACTTTTGACATCTTCCATTTGACTCACAAGATCTTTCATGCTCTGCTCCTGCTGTCTAAGTTTGATGTATACCTCTCCCATCTCTTTCCAGCTCTTGTCCAACCCAGACTCAAGAGCCCTGCACGCATCAGAGCTCTCCTCGATCACGGCGCCCAGAATCCTCAGAGTCTGAAGGGAATCCTGACAGGTTCCTTCCATGCTACCGAGCTTGCTTGACATGGAGCGAACTTGACCTTCCTTCTCTTCCAGCACCCTCTCCGACTTTCATATCAAATCAACTTCTTTCGCGCATTCAACATTCAAATATTAGAGCTCACCTGGTGTATGTCAGAGGAAAGCAAGTCCTTGAGGCACTCCAGCTCTGTCAGACATTCTCGGAACTTGAGCTCATTCCATGCTGCGCTAAATTCTCCAAGAGCTCTTTCACACTGCTTCAGTCTCGAGCCTTGGCTGTCGAGACCCGAGCACTTCTTCTCCTGCAAAAGTTTTACGAACAAGAAAAGCGGATCCATCTTTACCATGGCAATATTCTGTTGCTGCAGCTCATCTCTCTTCAGCTCCAATTCATCGATCTGATCGTTAGCCTCCTCGAGTTTCGCTGCCTGCTCTTCCATCTCAGCCTTCAACGAGAAGAGCTTTTTCATCAGCGAATCCTCGTTCGTCTGATGCAAGGTAGCATTCTGCTCGGACACCTCCAGGCGGGATCGCAGAGCATCCATCTCTTCTTTCGAAGATTCGCACACATTTCTGTTTTGAAGCTGCAAGTTTGCAACTTCGTCCCTGAACGCCATCAAGGACTCCTGGGTGTGCTTTACAGCTTCCTTCAGCTGCTCGATCTTGACATCCTTCTCTGCGTTGGAATGTTTGTAGGACTTCAGTTCAGAGTCTCTGTCTTTGACTGTCTGGTCCAACCTCTGAACCTCTTGCTCTAACTCCTTCACCACCATCTTCAGCCTGTCAATCTCAAGATCTTTCTCCATCAGGGACTGTTCATACTCTCTGTCTTGTTTCTCGCTAGCCTTTTGTGCCTCGTCCTTCACTTGTTTAGAATATTCTTCTGCCTTGAAAAGCTCCTGGCGGATCTTTTCAGCTTCTTCACTTCCAGCTGAAATCTGCAACGAAAGCGCGTACGTTTTCTCCTTCTCCTTCTCGAGTGCTGCGTGCAACTCGCGAATTTGCTCTCGGATCACTTCAATCTCCAATTCTTCAGCGGATTTAACAGGTGAGGAGTTACGATTGCGCAGAGCTTCTTTCAGCTCTGCGTGAAGGGTGTTCAGGGCGTCTTCCTCAGCCTTGATGGCTCTCAGCTGCTCTTCAAGGGCCTGATGCTTCTCAGGACTGTTGGGAGAATCAAAGAGTCGGCTAGATATTTCCTGCTTGTTCCTGATAGATTCTTTGATCGTCTGCAGGGATGGTACATCATGTGCTCGGTACGGTGGTGGCGTCTGCGCCTCCTGCAAACAAGAGCATAAGAAGTAGGATTGGTGGGTTTGAGAGAGCTACACACCGGAAACGCCTCCAGGTCTTGACTCAACCTTGAACGCTGGGAATAGTCTAGAGGGAGATGATCGTGACGGAGATCTCCAACACTAGCCAGAGAGTGAGCATCGCTCAGCCTGAATCCGCTCAAGGAGCAGGCGTCACTGCCTCTCACGGTCGGCTGCTGGCTGAGGAGCGATGCGCGAGAGAGAAGGTCCTGTGAGTTCACATTCTCCTTGTCCATGCATGACGGTAGGCCTGACTTGTCTGGTGGGATGGGGAGGGGCTTGCCCATCACTCTCGATCCCCGCGAAGCTCTTAGCTTCGCCGGTGTCAGAGGCGACGGCGCATCCTCCCTTAACTCCTTTCGAGCACGCGGCATGGCGGGTAGGATTCGAAACGTACGAGGTGTAGAGGGTGGTACATCGGAAGTGGAGGCAGAATCGGAAGGGTACTCAAAATTGATATGATAGTACCGGGTACTTTCATATCAGAAGATAGGAGAGAAATAGGGTACCTACAACTCTGGTATTCTGTCCGAGGGTGGGTTATGTTTGACAGGGGTGGGGGTTCTATTTGAAACCCTACAGCTCCACAGCGCCACTCTGAAGCTAATCCGCCTCGGGAGAAAACCACCCTACCCTGGAATCAACTATTTAAGCAGGGGTCATGTACGACCCGAGGGTAGGGGTGGAATTGATGGGGGGGTCAAGCTGAAGGGGTTGGGGGTGAAGGAAGATGGTAGTCAAGTAATGAAATAGATGTCAACGGTCCAGGTGGGTGGGTGTTGTAGAATTGGATAAGGGGGTGGGGGTGCTAGGGTCTACGGGAAGGAGGCGCCGCGCATGTCGGCGATGTGGCGGCATGTCATCAAGCGGTAAGAGAACAGAGAGGAGCCAGCAGGCAGTAGGACGCACAACGAAGGATGCACGAGGCAGGATACAGGAGGGAGGAGGGAGGGAAAGGAAGAGATGGCAGGGAGGGGGAGCAGGAAGACCTTGGGAAGAGGAGAGCGAGGGTGGAATAGGGAGGGAGGTATGGAGGGAGGAACAGGCATGGGTGATGCAACAGCCAATAGACGAGAAAGATAAGATCAAGGATCAAGTTCTGTAAAGCTGGGCACTGGCAACAAGTATGTACACAGGATCGAAACAACAGATATGTACATATTGCATGACCAACGTGATTTATCCCCACGCTGAATATGTCATGGAAACAGACCGTCGCAGGCAAACCTGTCCATAGCACGAGCAGGTAGCGTAACCATGAACTTCCAAAAAGAAAGACAACTGATCCGGCACGCCAGGTTGCCTGATGGGCAGGAGCTTCCTTCACTCGCTGAGGTGGGCTGGGAACGCGCCTTCCGTAGAAGTGAGTTTGGGTCGTCTGACTTGGATCGAACTGCAGGGGGGAACATGGCGAGGGTCAACATGGAAGCCAAGGGAAGGGCGGATCGAACTTTCCTTGGTTGCGGGTGGCAGCTGTCGCAACTCCTGCTCTGCTGTGGGCAATGAAGGTGAAGAGCTTCAAAGACTGCCCTGAGGATGCTGATGCTGGCATCAGGATAATACCATGGATGTCGCTGAGTGGAAAGAGCTACTCAAAGACATCTTGGGCATCGAAGATCAAGTCGTCCTCACACGGGGATCTGATGATGGGGCTGTGAGACGACCTGGTTTGTTGACTATCGCAGCGGCTGTAGAGAACATCAGGGCACAGAAGAAGGATGAGAAAACGAATGGAGGATCCCCTCCTTCCGCTGACAAAGATTCTTCTCAGCCTTCTCAAGGACCCCGTGCACCTCCTTCCTCTTTCACGGAAGGAGCTGAAGAGATTCAGAAGATCGAGAAGTCAGAGAAGCAAGAGAGCGATAAACGCGTGGAGATGTACAACAATTTACTGTCAGAGTTGGAGAGATTGAAAAAGGAGAGGGATGTGTTGGAGGAGGAGAGCAAAAAGCTCAGGGAGGCGCTACATGCTACTAAGGACACAGCAACTCAACCAACAGTTGTGTTCCAACACCGCGAGCTAGACGATCACTGGCAGAGCAAGCTTGCACAGCTCAGCGCAGCTAAGACGACAGAGAAGATGTTGGAAGCGCTTCATCAGCAGATTGCGTCAGGAGACGAGGTCCTGCAGTCTCACAGCCTGTCATCGGGAGCTATCAACGAGCGAGGAGTCGACCTGTCGAAAGAGAAGGGCCTTTCTGAAGATTCAACTCTTGAGCAGGTTCAGGGCAGAATCAGGCAAGTTCTGGTTGAGCTGCACCTGCGAACGCGACTGGAAGCGCAGCGGCTGCGAGAGGCCGTGAAGATGACAGAGGATGCGGTCCAGTCCGAGCAGATGCAGAAGCTTTCTCTTCAGCTAGTGGCGCAGGAGAACGAGCTGCAGAGATTGATGGAGATGAAGGTGGAAGAGATTCGCAGGCATGCAGAAGAGGAGATCTCGAAGATCGATGAGACTTACGACCAGAGGATCCGGGAGGAATGGGTGCAGGTGAACACGCAAGCTGAACAGCTCCACGATCATGCGTTGAAGATCAAGGAGATACAGCTCGCCCTGGAGAGCGAGAGAGAGCTGGAGAAGGAGCGGGAGAACCTCAAGAAATATTTCGAGCAAACATCGCAGACGTACGTGGGGAGGATCAAGACGCTGAAAGAAACCGTCTACAAGTTCAACGAAGACGTCGAGGGCTTCTCCAACAACAAGAGAAACGCTCAGGCATGATGCTCTTGAATCGCTGGGACAACATGGTTGACCATATTGCAGTACGTGCATCAGCTGTCCTTGGCAGCGGACGCGCTCAAGGATGCTGTCGAATCCGGCAGAAACTGTTCCAAGGAGGTCAAGTTCCTTAGGAAGCTGGCAGGCAGGCAAGCTCATGCTCTGGCTCCGTCTGACTGCGGGGCAGGAGGAGATACAGCTGTTGACGCAGCCTTATCGACGATCCCGATCAAAGACGGTGACTGCCATCCTCTCATTCAGCAACCTTTGATCAAGTTGGTAGAGATGAATGTCTCGACCATGGATGAGCTTCAGACTCGGTCCTTTTCTCCTCGTGGCCTCGCCTGCGACTAACGTAGTCTGCCTTCTTCAGTTTCTTCTCTGCCTCTCTCGAGGCTCGTCGTAGGCTGCTAGTGCCGGAGGGAGGCGGCATGATTCAGGCATGTCAAGACAGCTGAGTGAAAGAAAGCTGATCTCGCGTGCAGGAGCTGGTGGGGACAGGAATGTCCAAACTTTATGACCTGGGAGGAAGCATCAACTTCCGCCACCCTTCCCCGACCGATAGTCTTCCTGAGGGAGACGACCCTGCTGCTGTGCGAACTTTTCTGGCCGCATTCTGCTAGTGAGCTGACCTTCATCTAGGTGCTCAAGAGAGCAGGGATCTGGGTGTACCGAGGGCGGATAGCGCAAGCCATGCAGGAGCTCGAGGTTCTCGAAGGCCGTCCTGCGCAGGCGATGAGCGGGTGAGGGAGAGACAGTTGAAGAGAGACAGGAGAGGAGGGAGGAGGAGGGAGGAGGAAGGGGTCAGGTCTACACGGGAGTCGATACTGAGGATGATGCAGGTGGATGGAAGAGGCTCGGAGACGGCTGGTGGTGCAGCAGGCGTTGCAAGTGCTTCATGCGCACATCTCCCTTTCATCGACACAACTCGCTTGACTTCATTTATTCATTTCCAGTAACTTCTTGATTTGTCCCTCTCATTTACATCCGATCGACTCTCCCCAGCACCTCCCCCTCTCACTTTCCCTCGCCTGCCCCCCTCTTGCCATTCACATCCCGCGGGTCGCAGGAGACGAGCTTGACCTGATTCCTCATGTAGTGACCGGCGAGGCTCGACGTCACAGCCTCTGGCTCTCCTGCTTTCAGTGGCCGGGGAGAAAACGCTTCCATCCCTTTCTCCTCACCCTAGGGTCAATCAGTCAGCCCACCAAATGGGAGGCGTTGCGAAAGAGAGGGAGGGGAAGATAGAAGAGTGAAGGTAGGGAAGGAGGTGAAGGATAACTGCAGAGGACAAGGGGAGCAAAGCAGCAGTAGAGTCTTCACCGTGCTACCCTTGTTCACAGACGATTCCCTCTTCAACTTGCGGATCTGCAACCATGGCAGTCAACAGACAACCGCGGCCCCCAATACACCCCCCACCCGTGTTCCTCCTCCTCCTCCTCCTCCTCCTCCTCCTCCTCCTCCTCATCATCATCATCATCATCATCATCATCATCATCATCATCATCATTCACCTCAGCACTCCGGGCATGAGAAAGCACTTGAAGCTTCCTCTCCAGGTGCTCGATGAGCTCCGTCCTCTCCTGCAGCGCGATCTCCTTCTCCTTGAGCTCCTCCTGGAGCTGCAGGACCTCCCGCTCCATGTGCTCGTACGCCTGCCATACTCTCAAGATAGACCCCCACCCACCTCTCCCCCAGCACCTGCAGGGGGACCTTGACTCTCGATGAGCCGGTCGCGTCGTCTGCTAGCAGAGAAGGCGAGGACGTCGCGTCCTCCCTCCAGGTGGCGTCGATCCTGTCGTGGAACGCGTCAGATGGGGGAGCAGTTCGTTGCCTCCACCTCATCGACTCGTCCTGGGTCTCATCGAAGATGTCAGACAAGTTGTTCTTCCCCCTGCTGTTCGCCATGAACCTCGCGATCAGACTCCATCGCCTGTCGGACATCTCACAGGGAGCAGGCGAGACCCCAGGAGGACAGCGATAAGGCACTTAAGGCGAATGGGGGTTTCGGTCGATGCTATAGAGAGGACGGACAACAAGGGAACGGCAACAATGTATGCAACAATGTATACAGGTCAAGAAAGCAGCAGCGCAGCATGTCTGTACCTCTGTCTGGCAGTCGTCAAGGAAGATGAGAGTGTGTCGAGCTTGCTCGTCAAGACTTCTATTCTGCCCTTCTGCGACTTGATTGTCTTCCCCTGTATCCCAAACTCTCTCACCCCAACCTCCGACAACACCAACGGGTAACGACCTGCGATGCGACAGTCTCTGCGAGCTTCTTGTTGATGCTTCTCAGTTTGCTCCGCTCGTCAGTCCAAGAGATCACCTTCATAGGCCCTGGACGTCAGGGAGTGACGAGGCAGAGGTCACTATCTAAGGACCTCCTGTCCTCCTGCCGTCGTCGTTTCCGCCGGCTCAGATCGTTCTTCTTCCTCACTGCTACTGATCTCGCACTCTTCCCTCTTGATCCCAGCAAGGTTCTTGTGGCCTCCGTCAGACAGTGCAGAGCACACAAGGATAGTTCACCGGGGGCAAGACAGTGTCTTTCTTGAGATGCCTCAAACTCTCCAGCACAGTGTGCAACTTCACCTAAGAATACGAGCATGATCACTCTCTGCACAGAACAATAGCAAGCAGGGACACAGCGAGCAGACCTCTTCTTCTTTGCACAGAGAATTCTTATTGATCTGTTCCCGGCCATATCAGCCACCACAACGCACACTGAACAGGGTTGCACCTTGCTCAACATCAGCGACAGGATTTCTTTGAGAGCAGAGATCGCTCTGTCACCATGTCAGTCACCACGGCCACCAGGCGCAAAGTCATCGACCCATCATATCGTTGAAGCGATGAAAGAAGAAAACTGCGAAACCGTGAGTGGAGGGTGATGATGTTCGGACCTCTCTCACGAGTTTTCTTCCGCCAACCCGCTCATCTTCTTCTTCAATCGCCCGACTTTCTCCTTTTCCAGCACTCTCTTTGGGAACAACCCGTCGGGGGAGTCTTCGAGCTGCCTGATAGTCTGCTGATGCTGCCTTGTTAACGACTCATAGGCTGCGATCTCGCTTCTCAGCCTCTTGTTCTCGTCCCTTCATATCCAAGTCAGAACGCCACGCGAACGATGCGAGATGCGAACGATCAACCTGAGAACCGTCACGTTCTCATTCAGGCTCGCGACCTTCTGCCTCAACCCGTCCCTCTCCGACGTCAAATCCATCAGACCGTTCTCCTTTCGCAGACTCTCTCCTTTCAATAGGCGGACTTCATCCTTCGTGCATCAGTCAGAGCAAACTGAGTCAAAATCATCATGCACATACTTGCAAGGAGGCGTTCTGGTTGGAAATCTCTCGCAACTTTGACACTACCTCCTCCTTGGCCTTGAGGACTTTGTCGGGGGCAGCAGGCGAGTAACTTAGGGCAGGGGAGCGCTTTGCCACTGCCGATCTTATTCTGAATGAGTACATCGGTCAGAACAAACATCGCTTTGAAATGTCGTCATTCCGCCATACCTCGGAGATCTTTCAGAAGCTGTCGAACGAGGAGTCTGTAGCATGTATGAATCCTCCCGCTTTGAAAGATCCTCAGGCTCAGCGTTGAGGATAGGTTGAGGAGACTTGCTCTTCTCGTGTACAGAGAAGAGTTTCACTTGGTTTTCTATTCCCCTTATCTCCTCGTAGATGTAGTCGAAGGTGTCGTCTTGATATTCCGTGTCAGCATCTTTCTTGCCCTGGAAATCCCGGTCGGCCTCGTGCCCGTTCTCCGATGGTCTCTCAAGAAGCTGCCTATCTTCATACCGATGCTCTGCTCCTCCTTCAGGTTGGTGTTCTCTTCTCCTCTCCTCCTCCATCTCTTCGCTCGTCCTTGCTCTCTTTTCTCCTCTCTGCCTCCCCCCACTCGCACCCTCCTGCATAGATTCGCTAGCGGCCCTCATCCCCAGTATCTTGCCCAACGGCATTCAACGGTCATCTGGGCTCAAACCATTTTGAACCGTTATAAACCGTTCTAGGTCTGGAAAAGAAACGGTGTTGAAACGGTTTTCTGTCGAAGAGCCATGGCAGGTCGTTTGGCCGCCGCTATGGCGGGCTTCGTTGTCCTGGCACTTCTCGGCCTCACCATGTGGTCAAGGAGAACGAGCCTGGAGCAGCGTCCTGTACGCTACTTCTTCATCCCCTCCCAAGAACGTGGGAGACAGCAGCTTGCTGTGGTGCACAGCGCTCTGGGAACTCCGCAGGACTTACCCAACCTCCGTGGAGAAGAGCTTGGCGATGAAGTCATGGACCTTCCACAATCAGATAGCGAACACGATGATGGAGACATGTATGTTCCAGCAGAAATGATGAACAGCTATACGTTCAAGCAAAAGCCAGTATCCATTTCGTTGGCAACGGGTAATTCACGTTCGAATCCAATGTTAGCCGATCCTTCAGATCCTTCCATGTACGACTCGAAGTTGGCAAAGCTTGGAGTGAACGTTGGAGCTGCCCCTGCACAAGGATCTTTTGCCACGCATGGCGATGCCTTTGTCTCGGCTGACAACCTGGAGGACTCTTACAGCGTAGGCCCATCCCCGAATCGCGAAATTCACGGGAATACCATTGGTGGAGATTGGTTTGGTCACGTTGGAGAACCTCTCTTGACAAGAGCTCAGATCCAGGCTCAAAGTGCTGTGCCCAAGACCGCCAAGTTCACCTCGTTGGCTGGTCAGCCCCCGATCTGTCAGTGCAGCGCCTCAACGGATGCCGCGGCGACCAGGTGCTCCTGTCAACGCGACGCGTCGAGGCTCTCGGGAAGCAAGACGATTTCTTTGGATCTTCAGTGCTGTGATTGTGGAGGAAAACGAGTGAGTTCTTTGAAGATAAGAAGTGATCTGTTTGTAACCTGTTCCATGTTTCATTTTGCAGCACATTGTTTCTCCTGCACCAGTTTGCTCCGATTGCTACGGATGTGGGCAGCAGGCTTATCATGCATATTACAATCCATACGGCATCGTTCAGGACGATACTGATGAAGATTCTTCTACAGGTATGCAATTGAGCAATCTGCTGGGTCCATAATTCCCCCTGTCCTGATAAATTGTTTTTCAGCCAGCACTATTCTCGAACAGAAAATTGTGAAACCCGTGCACTACTTCTCTCGCAATGAAGATCCTGGGAAGCTAACTGATAGAATGATGGTTCTGAACGATGTATTGCGTGGAGCCAAGGTATGCTCGGATCGATCGAGGGATTGCAATGTTTTGACTTGGTGCTACAGAACTTTAAACCGCCCACTTCTGCCCCCGTCTACGAGTCTAAGATAGTTAAGAGGGTCAAGGTTGACCCTATTGTACAACTCTCATAAATTATGCTGACACAGTCACGGTGGCCGGGCACCGCCGGGCGGCGACTGACCTCAGCCTAGGCTGGCAGCCAGCGCGGCCCGGCCGCCGCGGCCCACCGTGTCACTGTACACTGCGGCCGCCGCTCGGCGGGCCAATCCGAATTGAATCAGGGTTTTGGGGCGGCCTGTTCTGACAAAGAATCATTCGGAACCATAACCCTGTCACTGTGTGCTGTTACACGTTGATGTACCGTAGGCTAGCGACTACCGTACGCTAACCCCTCAGAAACCGGCCGCAGTGCCGGTGGCATCCATTTTGACCGGCCGGGCCCTTCTGATTTGAGTAAAGCCGAATTAGTACAATTGAAGGGGACTCGGGTGGTAGGCAGCAGGTCATCTACTGAGCTATTTCCGGCGCCATGGCAGACGCGCTCCCGTAAGAAGGAAGAGGAGATCATAGATGTGGAGGCGCTGCATTGATTTCGCTGAAGAAACTTCCTCCTTGTTCTGATTTGACTGATGAGACACGCTGTCATGTGCTCTTTGCTCTCGTTCCCCATCCGCATGCTGCCATGTTTTCTCAAGCCATCAGCCCCTCGTTCTTCTCCCCTATTCACAGCGGCGGCAATGTTCTGGCTCCACTCCCCTTGCGGCTCTGCTCCAGCTCCACTTCCCATGGGAAGGCTACTCTCTGATTCTGTGTTTGGCACAGCGGGTTCTGGGAGGCGCTGAGTGCACAAGATAGCAATGGAGAGAAGAGGATGCTCAAGCACGTCGTAGCTGAGGTCTTTTTCTGAACTCTCTGGTCGCTGCTCACTGAAGCTTTCTTCTTGAAGTTTACTGGAACCTTGCTCTTCACCTTCCTCGCTGCCGCTGGTTCATATCTATTTTGAAATCCTTTTTGCCCTTGTAACCGCCTTCTCTATGGCAGCGGCTGTCAATGCACAAACGGAAGGACTGGCGGCTGGAGCGATTGGCAGGTGTGTCAGATTACGAGCCCATCAAGAAAGTCAGATGCCTGACATGTTCATCAGCGGGATTTCCCTTGCTGTCGTGATATACGCCACTGCTGGTTGACTTGGACCTCAAAGATCCTCTCCCGGCTCATTTTCTTCAGGTGACAACGGATCGGGTGGGAAAATCAACCCGGCTGTCACAGCTGGACTCTTCATGACTGGTCTGGCCCTGATTTCCTTACAGCGGTAGAAGGTCATTCTTACCGCTGCATCGCACAGGTCGCCTGCATTGGATCACTGCCGCCTGGGAAATCCTTGCACAAGTTTGAATTTCGTTGAATTAGTCATGATTCCTCACCATAGAGTGCAGTTTGCTGGTGGCATGGTTGGAGGCTTCATCCTGAAATATGCTCTCCCTCACACGTACTATCTCAATCTTCTCGGGCAAATAATGATTGAGACTGTTTTCACTTAGAAACCTCACTGTACCACTTCTCGCTATGGGAGGTCCAAGCACGACTCATCCCTTATCCGCGTTTATCTGGTACACTGGTGGTTACATTGTTCAGACAAACTAAGCGTTTCTCAGGGAGTATATGACCACTGCATTCCTTGTATTCGTGGTTTTTGCTACGGTGGTAAGAAGCATCTATATTTGATTACAATGCGCTTCGTAATTTGACGACTACATAAGGTTGACAAGCAAAGCCGTCATGTGGATCTCAAAGTACTCACCCCCCTTGATAACTTCTGGCAAGGGGAGATGGAGAGAAGGATTGATTTTGCTGTAGGTCACTCTTCCAACACCCTTTGCGCCCTTGGCCATCGGACTGGTATTAGTTTGCATACTCTTCCTGTCGTTGACTAGCGTCTAGACGTGCCTAGTTGGGGCCCTTGCAAGCGGTCCTTTCACTGGGGGAGCAATGAATCCCGCAAGGTAGATCATTTTCCTCGTTCGCTCCATCTGGAAATCTAACTTCCCCGTAGAGTGCTCGGACCAGCCATCTGGTTCTGGAACTTCCGTAACATTTGGTACTTGAATCAGCACGAGTCGGTACTAGCAAGTGACTGATGTCACTTGGTAGGGTCTACCTCCTGGCAACCATGATTGGAGGAGTATCTGGAGCGGTGATCTTTGACAACCTCTTCTTGCAGGTACTTGGTTCCGATTGTTGACCTGCTGATCGACTGAGCCTTGTTGGCAGCATCAGCCCCCTGAGAGTGACGCTGCTGTGGTATGAAACCATGCGCCGGTATGAATCATGCGACCCACATGAAAATTGGGTTCGTTTCAAAAATCAAAGATTCTGGTCGAACTTCAGAATGTATAGTTAAACATTAAACAGATAGCAACAACCCTATTTACAACAGAAACTAGCATTCGACTTCATCTCATCCCAATCCAAGATTTTGGTTCGTTTATCTACACGGACAGTCTGTGTTAAAAGCACGAAACAAAGAAAGGACGGAGTTGACCAAACCTGTTTCGTTCCCAAGTTGAGAGTCGGAAGCTTGGAATGGCATGCAGCTGCTGTTCTCAGAGGTGAAGACATCTGCATGAGTATGAGAATCATCAGGTGTATCCCTTTCTCTTTCACCGCAGTCGCAGTGTCCAAAGCGCAGGAGCCATGGCGTGGTTGAAAGGGCAACCTAGGTCGAAGATCAGTCCTTTGTGCAGAGGCAAAGTTGAGTTCGATACAGACCTGGAGGAGAAGTACGCAAACTCCTCCCTCTCTTTCTTAGCATTCGGATGAGATATATTTTTCAGCTCGTTGGATAAGCCAAACATAAGCCTGGTGTGTAGAAATGATCAAAGAACATAGCGAGGGTAGCACATGTGGTGAGTTGAGCCCATGTGATTGGAAGCGATACATCAACAAAAGTCAGCCCTGTAGAAGAAGTTGAAATGAACCACTTGAATCAAACTGATCAATGGAAGGTTGATGCAGATGTAAGAGCGAAGAGAGGAGCACACAGCATGGAAGATTGTGCAGGTGACGGAAATACTTAGTAATACCCAAGCTCGCCTCAGTACTAAGGGAAATTGCAGTGCTGAGGCAGACTCGTTCATCTTGGGGATAATGGGGAGTGCATGAAGATAGAGGAGCCGCATGAAGATAGGAGGAGCCGCATGAAGATAGGAGGAGCCGCATGAAAATAGGAGGAGCCGCATGATAGAGTAGTTGGGAAAGGATCAAGTACTTCAATCCTCTGCCTTTCTCATCTTTATTACATGCTGACATCCCATTCGCCATATCACACCCTCAAGCACTGCATGCTTCTTACCGCACCTGACGAAACATGCTGGAGCAGATGATTACGATTACACAATTGGCGCTTGAGATCCAGGAGGAGCTGACAACCATTTCATCATCCTTAAGGTCTGTCTAGGCCATCTACGACATCGTCTGAAGCTCGAGGGTGCGCAGGAATGAGATCGATCTGATATCTGTCGGACTCGAGCACAACGACGATATCATTTCAAGATTGAAAGACGAACTCGAGATGCTATCTGAGCAGACTCTGCAGTACATAGACAGCTCAGGATGGAAAGACATGGAAGAAAATCAACCAGGCATCCAGGTGATCTCCCCGCCTGGCAAACGTGCTTCTGAACCCCCTGTTGCACTAGCAGGCACATCAGAGTGAATGGTCGCATCCGGATGCAGCTGTGCATCCGACAGATAGCCATGGAGCGCTGGGCGCGACCCTGTGGAGAGACATCGTGAATCTAGGACATTTGAGCAATGGCATTCGACAGGCGTCTACAGAACGAGAGAGAAGGATGCGGATACTGGTCGATCATCTGCTATCGGCTCTACACCGTGCATACTCGGAGACTACTGCTGAGCAAGAGAGTGCAAAGTCTTGTCCGGTGCCAACACAAGGCAATGGCGCGCCCGTGTATGAAAGCAGTCTGAACAAGGAGAATCGCACGGAGGAAGCACCTCGACCATCTGCAGCGCGGAAGACCAACCCTGAGAGACTGGAGAATGAGAGGTTCCGAAACAGAGCGAAGGTGTCGATGGTTAAGATCGGACTCCTCCAACTCTCGAACGAACTGAAGCAGTTTTCAGAGGAAGCTGATTCGTTGCTCAACGCTGTGAAAGCTTCCTGGTCCGACCTTGCCTTTAATACCGAATTGCCACGAAAACTGCAGGGCTATCTGAATCAGAGAGGCGCAGTAGGAGACTGGCATAGTGGAGTGAGAAGTCGTGCTAGAAAATGAACCCGAGGCTCTCATGCAGTCATGCAGTCAAAAGACTGGGTGGTCCCGTAAACCGTGCCAGGCATGATCTCAGCGTGACTCGCCCGGCCCTGACCGTCTCGAAAGTGATGATGGATACTTGGGTTCCCATGCGTACCATGGTAGCAGCAGTTGGGTTCACCGATACCTGATTGTCACAACTTGTCCCAACGGAAGATCCCGCTCAAGGTCGCAAGGCCACTGGGCTGTGTTGAGCAAGCTCACTCTTGGAAGAAGCAATCTTGAAAAGGGCTCCGTTGAGTTGCATGATTTAGAGAAAGAGCCGAATCTAAGTGATCAACAGCACTGCTGCTGACATCAGTCAACGCGTGGGTCCTCCTCCAGCATCGTCGATCATCTCGTGACGCCATTTTGCTTGTGCGTGCGGGCGGGCGGGCGGGCGGTCGTCGTTGCTGGCAGGAGCCAAGTCTCCACTCTTTGATGCTCCGGATAGAAAGGGACAGCTTCATCGCGATGAAAGTCAGCATCGAATTACAGGGGCTCAAGAGAGAATTGAAATCATGCCGTAGGATTCTTTTTATTTCTCGAGGTCAACGTTTTTTCCCACTGCGTCAGCAGCCCGGCGGGGCAGATAAATAGTGACTGATCAGTCGCCGAGACGCTAGACTATGAAATGACGAACTCTAGCGGTAAGCACCGTATGTGGCCGCCACGAAGACTCTGTTTCGTGGACAAGGTGTGTAGTAAAGAACAAACATCTGGTCATTATTGTGAGATCTCATCGGGGGAGGGACAGGGGGAGGGGGTAGTCCCAGGCTTCACACGAGGATCGGATGCAGAATGGGGGGGGTGGGGGTGAAGCGATTTGGACGCGAAATCGGGATTCATAGTTGACGGGGCGCAGGGGCAGAAAGGAGAAAAAACGAGACCAGGGGCGAAGAGGATCCTGACAGGTATCAGCTAGAGAGCAAGCAGAGCAGAAAAGACCACGACGATCCTAACCTCAGGCTACTTGTCTCGAAGCAAGCTACTGCGCTCAAGTCCCCAGATCCCAATCACAGACAGAATCAGTGTCGGAGGGCAGGCAAGTGAGAGCTCTGCTCACATATCAGCATAGCCTCAGCTACACTGACACGCAACCTTCAAATGGCTAACAACGGTGTCTTCGTGCTGTCTCGTCCTCGGCTCGTCACCATCGAGTTGCTCCAGCAAAACGCTGGATTGCCTCAAGCCCAGGTAGCTGAAAGACTGGTGCGTCTCCCCCTCCTCTCTATGGACGGCCGAGTGACTTCCTGCTTGGCACAGGGCATCTCGCTGACTGCCTTGAAGGGAGCATGCCGGCAGCTGGGAATCCCAAGATGGCCATGTGCGCGCCGCTTGGCTGCACAACAACAAGAGAACAGCCAAGACGCGACCCCCGACGACCCCTCTGCTGCTCCCTCCAGCAGCTTCTTTTCTTGTGAGTCCATAACTCCACACCATGTGCGCGAAGACGCTGTCTTGCAGCCAAGCATGCAGATGCCCGTAGAGATGATGTCGAGCGACCATCTCCCAGGCGAGCTGCTACCTCCGTATGAGCTCCCGATGGCATTGCAAGGGGGCTCTGAGGGCGGGTTGCACGATAGGGTGGTGGTGGATCCGGACTGGCTGGAGTGGTACATGCAACCGAGCGGGAGAATGGAAGATGAAGGAGTCTCTATCAGCTACACGGCTCCTACTGAACCTCGTCATGGCTGATCCGGCTTCTGGAGGCTGATCATCGGGCTTCCGCGCCAGAACGGACTGCAGGAATCTGGAGTGATCGCATCAAGATCGATCGTGTAAGCTCATGCTATACATAGAGCTATTGCTAGATATGATGTTCGCCGTGTGAAGGTGACATATCAACACGCGTCCAATGTGTCCGAGGCTGAGTCGCATCCGGGGCACCCTCCTCAGTGCTCTAGGCCTGTGCTGAGAACCTCAGCCGATCCTGATCTCTCAAACTCATCGTCTCATCCTCCATACTCAGACATCGTGAATCTAGGACATCTGAGCAATGGCATTCGACAGGCGTCTACAGAACGAGAGAGAAGGATGCGGATACTGGTCGATCATCTGCTATCGGCTCTACACCGTGCATACTCGGAGACTACCGCTGAGCAAGAGAGTGCAAAGTCTTGTCCGGTGCCAACACAAGGCAATGGCGCGCCCGTGTATGAAAGCAGTCTGAACAAGATGTCGATGGTAAAGATCGGACTCCTCCATCTCTCGAGGCTCTTGTGCAGTCATGCAGTCAAAAGACTGGGTGGCCCCATAAACCGTGCCAGGCATTATCTCAGCGTGACTCGCCTGGCCCTGACCGTCTCGAAAGTGATGATGGATACTTGGGTTCCGATGCCTACCATGGGAACAGCAGTTGGGTTCACCGATACCTGATTGTCACATCTTCTCCCAACGGAAGATCCCGCTCAAGGTCGCAAGGCCACTGGGCTGTGTTGAGCAAGCTCACTCTTGGAAGAAGCAATCTTGAAAAGGGCTCCGTTGAGTTGCATGATTTAGAGAAAGAGCCGAATCTAAGTGATCAACAGCACTGCTGCTGACATCAGTCAACGCGTGGGTCCTCCTCCAGCATCGTCGATCATCTGAGTCTTGTGACGCCATTTTGCTTGTGCGTGCGTGCGTGCGTGCGTGCGGGCGGGCGGGCGGTCGTCGTTGCTGGCAGGAGCCAAGTCTCCATTCTTTGATGCTCCGGATAGATAGGGGTAGCTTCATCGCGATAAAGTCAGCATCGAATAGGTGCTCAAGAGAGAATTGAAATCATGCCGTAGGATTCTTTTTATTTCTCGAGGTCAACGTTTTTTCCCACTGCGTCAGCAGCCCGGCGGGGCAGATAAATAGTGACTGATCAGTCGCCGAGACGCTAGACTATGAAATGACGAACTCTAGCGGTAAGCACCGTATGTGGCCGCCACGAAGACTCTGTTTCGTGGACAAGGTGTGTAGTAAAGAACAAACATCTGGTCATTATTGTGAGATCTCATCGGGGGAGGGACAGGGGGAGGGGGTAGTCCCAGGCTTCACACGAGGATCGGATGCAGAATGGGGGGGGTGGGGGTGAAGCGATTTGGACGCGAAATCGGGATTCATAGTTGACGGGGCGCAGGGGCAGAAAGGAGAAAAAACGAGACCAGGGGCGAAGAGGATCCTGACAGGTATCAGCTAGAGAGCAAGCAGAGCAGAAAAGACCACGACGATCCTAACCTCAGGCTACTTGTCTCGAAGCAAGCTACTGCGCTCAAGTCCCCAGATCCCAATCACAGACAGAATCAGTGTCGGAGGGCAGGCAAGTGAGAGCTCTGCTCACATATCAGCATAGCCTCAGCTACACTGACACGCAACCTTCAAATGGCTAACAACGGTGTCTTCGTGCTGTCTCGTCCTCGGCTCGGCAGCAACACACGCTTCACAGGACGACGAGTCCACATCACCATCGAGTTGCTCCAGCAAAACGCTGGATTGCCTCAAGCCCAGGTAGCTGAAAGACTGGTGCGTCTCCCCCTCCTCTCTATGGACGGCCGAGTGACTTCCTGCTTGGCACAGGGCATCTCGCTGACTGCCTTGAAGGGAGCATGCCGGCAGCTGGGAATTCCAAGATGGCCATGTGCGCGCCACTTGGCTGCACAACAACAAGAGAACAGCCAAGACGCGACAGCAGCGCAAGACCGAGATGAGTCGCCTTCGTCATCAGATCATGACAGAGAGTCTGACGGCTCGGGCGGCGTCTTGGACGAGTCCCCCGACGACCCCTCTGCTGCTCCCTCCAGCAGCTTCTTTTCTTGTGAGTCCATAACTCCACACCATGTGCGCGAAGACGCTGTCTTGCAGCCAAGCATGCAGATGCCCGTAGAGATGATGTCGAGCGACCATCTCCCAGGCGAGCTGCTACCTCCGTATGAGCTCCCGATGGCATTGCAAGGGGGCTCTGAGGGCGGGTTGCACGATAGGGTGGTGGTGGATCCGGACTGGCTGGAGTGGTACATGCAACCAAGCGGGAGAATGGAAGATGAAGGAGTCTCTATCAGCTACACGGCTCCTACTGAACCTCGTCATGGCTGATCCGGCTTCTGGAGGCTGATCATCGGGCTTCCGCGCCAGAACGGACTGCAGGAATCTGGAGTGATCGCATCGAGATCGATCGTGTAAGCTCATGCTATACATAGAGCTATTGCTAGATATGATGTTCGCCGTGTGAAGGTGACATATCAACACGCGTCCAATGTGTCCGAGGCTGAGTCGCATCCGGGGCACCCTCCTCGGTGCTCTAAGCCTGTGCTGAGAACCTCAGCCGAACCTGATCTCTCAAACTCACCGTCTCATCCTCCATACTCCCGCTCGCCGTTGCGTATACAACTCAGCCCCCTGAGAGTGACGCTGCTGCGGTATCAAACCATGCATCCGACAGATAGCCATGGAGCGCTGGGCGCGTCCGTGTGGAGAGACATCGTGAATCTAGGACATCTGAGCAATGGCATTCGACAGGCGTCTACAGAACGAGAGAGAAGGATGCGGATACTGGTCGATCATCTGCTATCGGCTCTACACCGTGCATACTCGGAGACTACCGCTGAGCAAGAGAGTGCAAAGTCTTGTCCGGTGCCAACACAAGGCAATGGCGCGCCCGTGTACTACCGTATGAAAGTAGTCTGAACATGGAGATTCGCACGGTGGAAGCACCGCGATCATCTGCAGCGCGGCCCAGACCAACCCTCGATGGTCGGATCGGACCCAGGGCCTCCAACTCTCCGTCGAAGTGAACTTGCTGTTTTCCGAGGAAGCCTCATTGCTGTGAAAGCTCAGCCCGGCTCAGACGGTCACCGGGGCCGACTCTCCGAGTGACTGAGTCACCGCCCTCGGTACCGGATGGCACCGTCATCACCGGGCCCCGGAGCCGGCCGGGCCGGGCGGTGACGGCTCCGGGCGCGGCCGGGCGGCCGGATGGAGCCAGAGTCGAAAAGGCTTTGCAAGTTGCAGCTCACTCTGGCGTTTTTTTTTCCCGATAAACTTGCCCTTTCCCTTGCATTTATCTCAAAAGATCTGTTTTCAATTTGCTGATTGAGCTTATATATAACTCAGATGGTCATAACCTCAAGATACCGTAGCTACGACCCCCCAAACTCGATTTAAGGACCCTCTGTGGAATAACAATCAGCTTCAGGCAAAGTTCAAGACACCATCGCAAGCACTCACCTACTGTCAAATTTGCTATGAGCCCAATCGTATGCATTGGTCGCTATGAAAGCTTCCTCTTCAATCTCATTACCCACCCTCCTTCTTGCCCCTACGATTGTCGGAAGTACCAAGTTTACTACATGACCATGTTTGCTCCTAGAGATCTTTTCCTGCCCCCTTCGGGGGCAGGACCCTACCACCCAAGCTATCTCTCGTAATGCTACCCTACCTACCCTGTATCCAGTCAAAACCCCATCCACTTTGCTACCACCCCTCCAGCTCTGGTACTCTTGAGGTGAAAATAGGGAGATTGCTGACTACAGTATCCGTCGCCCACCCCTACCTCATACATATCCCAAAGGTTTGCGATCATGGAAAATATCCTTTGCCTTCCACTCCACCCCTCATTGATACGAGAAAGTTCGGGAAGATGAGGGGTACTTAAAGTACCCCACCTGCTAGTTTGTTGGGACGGTTCTGTCACATCAAAAGCTCTCAAGGTTCAACATTCCTGTTCACTACGTCCTCCCGCCACGCTCTATCCTCAAGTCGAATCTGCACTGGACTCTCTGAGCTGATTCGTAGCCTCTTTTCTCCCCGTCTCTCATCTCCTCTTGAAAGTGATTGCGATCCTGTCTGCGTCGAAATAAGGAAACAAAAAACACGACGATGTCAGTCCTCGCTGTAGCAAAATCTACATACAAGGCCATCAAGAACATCATGTCACCCCGAGGAAGCAGCTCCTCAGAAAAACCTGGAGACAAAAAGAAGAAGAAACTTGATAAAAAGGAAGAGAAACAGCGTATGAAGGAGAAAAAGGACAAGGACAGGAAGGATATGCAGGAGCTCATGAAGATTGTTAGAGAGGCATCCCACGACGGGCACATCAAGATTACAGACTCCACCTCGAAATTCGACAGCTTGAAAAGAATGTGGCAGCGAGGATAATCAGTCAGTTTTCGTCTTAATTTACCAAAACTGAGTCATCCGCAACTCTTCTGTTTTGATAGCTTGAACCCTGTAAAACAGTTTCCACACTTGTACATTACATAAAGCAACCGAAATGGGATAAATACAACTGCCTTCTCTTGAATGTGCTGATACATCGAAAGCTTTTCAACGCTAGCGTGACACGATCTGATAGATTTTCCTTGACGTGAAGCTGAGAGATGGCGATGCTCCAGTTCGTTCCGTGCATTCGTGAAACATCCGAATAAATCTTCATCATTCAAGAATCCGGTGCCTGAGTGGGGGAATCTGCGACTTTTCGACAACCGTCGTGGTGCAAATCACCAGTACATGTTGATTCTATCAAACAAGTGAGCTGCTCTGTATCATGGGAATCGAGGAGAGTTGCCCCCCGAACTTCCGAAATTCGGAAATTAATCTATGCCACTGAGCACCGGGCACTTCAAGTTGGCAAACCCTGAGAGGACTCCGGGGAACCTTAGAAATGATCACACTCTGAGACCGCTGTTACTTGACAGGACGACTAGTTGTCTGCGGCCGGATGTAGCGACCGATCCTGGAGGTCTGCGTCCCTGCGGCCTGCGGCAACCAACTTGGCAATGCATCTGAAGGGTCTGTCACACTGGCCGGCGGGGATCGACCTGCTCTCAGCCTATCAGTGTCTTACTGGCCAGTAATAAGATATTCTTGGCTCCCTTTCTTGCCGCCTTTTTACACAAAGTCGCCAGTCCTGTCCGCGTCCGAGTCACCGCCTCCTGTCCGCGTCCGCCGATGATCGAGTCTGGCACCCAGGCTCTTGGTCCGAGTCGCGGCGGCGACCGTCCCGGCGGGCCGCCGGGCTGGCCGGGCGGCCGCTGAGCGGGCCCGGCCAGCCGCCTGAGTCCGATCGGATTCAGCGTCACAGTACGGTCGGATCGGACCCGGTGCCAGCCAGGGCCACGGTCCGATCTGAGGACTGAGTGACTGTGGGCCACGATCATCCGATCATGGAACCGGGGCCCGGGGTGCGGCCCGGCCGGCGCCCTGCGGGGCCTGACCGTACGGTACCGCGGCGGTGGCACGGGCCGGCACCGTACGGTCGGTCCCGAGGGAGTCCCGAGTCCCGGGCCGTCGTTCCCGGCGGCGGGCCGGGCCGGGCCGGGCCGCGACGGCCCGGTACGGTACGGCGGCGGCGGCGGCCCCGCCCCGCCGAGCCTCGAATCGGATTGCCCGGGCCGGCCAGTTGTGAAAGCACTCGGACCGGCCCGATTCAACGGATGGTACCGCCGTACGTACCGTCACCCCGGCAGAGGCGGTGGTGGCTTTCACGGGTGTTTTTGACCAATCGAAGGAGGGTAGGGGTCTATCGCCAGTAAAACCTCTTTGCTTTTTTTTTTAGTTTTTGGAGAGTCTTGTTGGCGTATGATGATGAAGTAAGATTCATGAATTTGGGGGTACATGATTGAAATTTCATCATGACCGGTGGTACCTATATCCAGCCATTGTGTTTTGGGGCTTTCCAGGCCTCAGAATTGTCCAGGGGTAGGGTGCAATTGACAGGGGTACGTGAGAGTTACAATAGACAGTGAGTGTTACAATAGTTTGCCAAGTAGCACTCCTGTGGGTACTTACTATATAACAAAAGGGGGTAGGATTCAAGATGGTGGGTGGTATAAAACTGAAGGTACCGGTAGGGTGGGTACGGAGGGGTGGGGGGAGAGTCAGGGATTGCGACCACTGGGAAACCGCGATGCCGACGAGAGCGATGTCGGCGAACATGTAAGGAAGATGGATCACGAGTGGAAAATGCTGCCGATGTGTTGATCCGAATTGATCACAAAGTTAGCTTCAAGTTCGTTACTTGAACATGTTGCTGTGCCTATCTTGCTTGTTTCCTGCTGCGTTCTCGTCGTACTTGCGATCCGTAACGGTCTAACCTCGTCATTGGCAGGTTCACTCTCGGACTTTGTTTTCTCTTGGTGACAGCACAGGCAGTGAAGTTTGACAGCAAGCTGATCAAATCTGTGGATTGTAGCAAATTGCCAGCCGACTATTGCACAGCGGATTTGGGTTGCAAGAAGGACAGCAATGGGAACTGCGAAGTTGACCCGAACTTGAAGCCCACGATCAACTGCACAGAGCAGTTGTACAAGTCTGGACAGGCAGTGCAAGCTGCTGAGGATTCAATGGAGGTCTTGTTCAAAACCATCAAGACTACATGTAAGAACGTCGGGGAGACGACGTCTAAGGCCATTGACACCTTCGCGTCACTGGAGGATGAGTTTGAAAGCGCACTTGACAAATACAACTCGAGCCTGGTGGAATACACCAAAGAGAAAGCATTCATGGACGACCTTCAAAGTCAGCTTGATGATCTCCAGGTCAAGTGCAAAGCTACAGATCCTCCTCCACCCCCCGACTGCGCGATCAAAATCCAGAAACTCCAGGACCAGATCACCAAAGAGAATGCTACATGCTCCAAGTTGTGGATCAAGGTTGACATGAACAAGGTTTGTCTGTCGTTCTTATATGAAGTAGAAGACTGATCCGCTGCCTCCCGTAGAAAATGCTCGACCTCGCCTCGACTCAAGTCTCGCAGGGCAAGGCCGCCATGATCACTGCCACTCAGGGAGCCTCCAAGACTTTCAACTCTGCCTCAACTCAAGTCATGGTGAGCTCTGCACGCTGGTGAATGTTGAGCATGACAAGGGTTGCTACAGGACGCCGTCAACAAGAAGGATGACGCCATGACGTACTGGAACGCCATCGTCAGCTCGTGCTCTGCCAGCTCCGCTGTCGCCCAAGTGAAGCGCAAGTCATACAAGAGGCTAAGCAAGATGTACGACAAGATCCATCGCAGAATGCGCTCGTTCAAGGTCGAATGAAGGGGAGTATAGGGAGTACAAGAATTCTGATTGTTTGCATTATCATGTTTAAACGAGATATTAAAATGGGTTGTTCGAAAAACCCTGAAAATTCATGTTGTTGTTCCCGAATCCCGGCATTCCTCCTCCCATCTGCTGACCAGATTGAATGTTATTGTACATCCCAAAGCCGTTGTTGGGAGGGAAATTATTCCTGGCCTGCAAGACTGTAAGTGGAGGGTTCAGGGTGACTGGTCCCACACTTACCATTCCTGGACCAGCATTCATCATCATTCCTTGACCAGCATTCATCATCATTCCCTGTCCTGAGGTCATCATCATCCCTTGCTGTCCTGGTGGGAAGGGCATGGCAGTTCCCATTCCATATGGATTTTGGAATGATTGAGTGGGAGGAGACATCGTATGACCACCCAGAGGAAGCGAAACTCCGGCATGAAGCTGTGAGCTCTCCTTGGCCAACTGTGCCATCGATTTCTTAGGAGCTGCAGCCTGAAACTTTGCTATTTCGTCCTCTTTTGCCTGCGAAAAAGGTGAGAAGGCTGACCATGGATTGTAAGTGCTCGTGCCTTCTGCTGTGCTTCCTTCGCGGAAACATCTAAGTTTTCCAAGTTCACGAGCGTGGAGAGCGCTTGCTTCGCTACATTATTCTTGGCAAGCTGCGGGTTGCTGTACGCGTTGCCGCTAGGCTGTGACGGGTAGCCACTGTGGGACACAAGGTCGTTTTGAAAACCGTTACCATCGAAAAAATCGCCACCGCTGCGACGAACACAGTCAAAAAAACAATGTTGAAAAGAAGCTCACAACATTCACCTTGCAGCCTGCGGATTACTGAACATCAAGTGCTGATGGACAGGCGCTGAGTTGCCGCCCAACAGGTCGCTCGGTCCCGACTCGTTGAATTGGATCCACTGATCTGGCTGAGACTGGAGAGGCTGCGGTGGGTCCAGACTTTGCCCTTCTTGTTCAAAGCCGACCCATGCGGTGTTTGTGGTGCCGCCGGCATTGACCTGAAAGCCACCAGATGGCGCATTGCCAGTTGCATCGAAGGGATTCCAATCCTGAAAGCTAGAGTTCAACGGTTTTTGCGGAGATGCAAAGGACATAGCCGGAACAGAAAACAAGTCATCCATATCCCCTGCTTTTTTCTGCTCTGACGGTTGTGGCTCAGGGACAGAGAGATCCAAGAGATCTACGGGGGGATTGGCTTTCGGTTGGTTGGCTGGAGCGCGGGCAACTGGAGCAGGTTTCGGGGGAGTGATCTGTGGCGCAGAGCTAGGAGCGTGATTCTCCGTCCCTGCGGATAGGGCTCAATAATGGAAAACTTACAGAAAACAAATTTTCACGTTCGTCAGAGGACTTGATCTGCACGTTCAAATTCTTATTTTGTGCTCGAACGGTATGAGGATCTGGTCCCCAATCATCGTCGTCGTCGTTGAAGGTTGCTGGCTGGAACGGCAGGAGCTTGTCACCACCATGCACCGACACACAAAGTTCGAAATCGGCCGTACCTTGGAGCTAGACGCCGTCCTGTGCCGCGGGCTCAATCTCTTACCCCTGCGACCACCAGAAGTCAGCAATGAAGATTCCTTCCTTGGTTGCACACCAGTCTTCATCGCCCATGTCCGATGAGCTTCCATTGACGTTGAAGTTGTCATCATGGCTAAAGTTTCCCAAACTGAGCAGAAGTCATTCAGAAGTAGTCCGTGTATGCATCACAAAATCTGCCATTACCGTGCCTTGGACCTCTTTGCAGCCTCTCTTTGTTCTGTAAGCTTGTCTTGATTCTTCAAGAGCTCAATGAGAGACTTGGACTTTTCTCTTACCTGAAACATAAAAAAATCATCAAGAGCTTTGGAATCACCAATGAAAATGGCGGGCAATGTGGACACAAAAATTCTAATTACATTGATCCCTTGATCTTTGCCTGACTGCGCTTCAATAAACCTTCCGACACAAATCAACCTTTTCGAATGATAGTAGGAAAGGCGCACCTGAAGTGATTGCATGCCTCTATCCTGTCAAGGTTGTCCTTGATATCCTCCACCACCCTGCAAGGGTTCCATCAGCGCTCCTGTGAGAATTCAATCGCTCTTCTTTGCCTTCTGGAGGCGTTCTTGCAAAGATACTCGATCAGTGTAAGAGCTTTGTACACCTTGTAAAAACTCATTAGTGGAACACGGGTAACGTGACGAGTTGATATACCTTTCGCCATCTTTCCGGGACTTCCCGTAGCCTCTCCCATATCATGGCGAGTGCTTGAGCTCTCTCTTCGGGGCTCGAGCTCATGATATCAGAAATCTCGCCCATGGCAGTGCCTGACGGTCCCCAGGCATCGCTATTGGTTGCTTCCTTGACCTTGACAACAATATCGCTGGTGTTCAAAACGGCGTTCTTGCTGGGAAACGGTGAGTATTCACATTTGAGACGTTCACCAGGGCTACCCATGTTTGTAGAGCCCTTTTCCAGCTGACGCTGCTTTTAGCGCCAATCCAGTGAGTGAGTCAGACATCTAAAGGCAACACTGAGATGTCAAATCGTCAAATCTTCCCTTCCCGGTGAGGACAAAAATAACAAGGAATGGTCTGCATATCTTTCTTCTGACATACTTCAGCTCGTACCTCCTTTTAGACCTCCTCATCATCAACCTACCTTCTACTTCTCATATCTGCACCCATAAGAGACTTGCGCCTCTTGCTGCGACAGTTAACCTCCACGGTCGCAATAATCAGCCCAGACTTCTTCCACCACATTCCTGTGCGAGGCCCTTCCACTCCTCTACATTCTTTCGCTTCGTCTGCTGCTGCATTCTTGTCTCCTATCACCCTGTCCAACATCGTCGGCATTCACTTCTCTCCCGCTCGCTCTTCCTCCCATGCTCCCAGCACCTTCCGCTTTCCTCAGCTTGCGGCTGCATTTGGCAGTAAGCAGTTCCCCCTAGAGGGTAGGGGTACAAGAGGCACAGTCGTAATAGACCAAAGGGTGGGTACTAAAGTATATGAATACAGGGTGGGGTCAACGGTGGGGTGTAAAGATGAGGGTGGAGCACCGGGTTGCTGTCGTGTCTGAATATACCGGCGATTTTTAACTTAACTTTGAGTAACTTTCATGATTTTAACTTAACTTTGAGTACTTGAACGCCGAAGCGGCTCAGCGGCTTGCCTTACCCGCGGCCGCCCCCGGGCCGGCCCGGGCCCCCGGCCGCTGAACTTCGGAACTCCGAATCAGTGCTCGGGCGGCCGTAACTGTTCACTCCCGGACTCTGTGAACGAGTCATGATGCCCGGCCCGGCCGCAGCCGTCGGAGTCCGATCCGACGGTCCGGGACTCCCGGCCCGGGCCGAGCGACTCTGCCATGACTCACGGTGACGCCAGTCACTTCAAAAGATTCCGAAGTTTGCCCCGCGGGGCGCGGCCCGTCGTTACTCAGCCTGGGCAGTGCTACTAGCCTCTCAAAACGTCGGCCGCCTCAGCGGCTGAGGCCGCTTGATCATGTGACGGGGCCGCCGTCGCGGCCCGGGCCCGGCCGGCCGGGCGGCCGCGCCGTGGCGGCGCCCGCGCACGGTACTCCCGTAGAGGCGGTCTAGTGTGCCCTCCGAGCCTCGGAAAACTTTCAAGTCACTGAGTGACTGTGCTACGTGGACAATCAGAAGAGTCAGTGTAGAGGAGGCTTGACCCGGAGGCTGATGCCAGGCAGACTCGGCGGCGGCGGCGCCGAGAAGAGAAAGGACTGAGCGAGAACCGAGGCCGCCCCCGGGGCCTCATCCTGCCTACCGTAGAACTGCTAACGCACAGTCCGATACGGTCCTTCAACTTAGTACCCGCATGTCGGGGCCTGGCAAACCGCAGGCTTCGGCGGAAGTTTCACGTTTCATTATTGGAACTAAGCAGCAGCATCGGCAAGTTCAACACCGGCGCCTTCCTTACGATGTCAGGGCCTCGGATGATCTGACTCAATACCGTATACGCCGGGTACGGAGTTCCGATCAGCACAAGTTCCGAAGTTTAGGTTCACATTAGTGCTCAGATGATGATGGTCACCACCGTGAGTCGGAGCCGCAGTGCCGGCCGGCGGGCGCCAGGCGGTGGGGAGTGGCCGGGCGGCGGGCCCGGCCGGAGCCGCCTCTGAGCCTCCGAGGCCGCATGGCGAGGTTGCTAGAAGTTCCGATGGCGGCGTGACCTGGTACTGCGGTAAAAATTGCAAAGTTGCTGTACCTTCAAAAAATTGTTGAGAGCCTGTTTTCTCCCCCGGTGCAACCAACGACTGGGATGAAATGGAAGACGCGTTATTGTACAGAAAACTGGGAGCAGCTTGCGACTGTTGGGACATGGGAGCATAGATATCATTTGAATAGCTCTGTAAAAAACAACCATGTGAAAATTGTTGGATGTGTCTGTCGCCTGCTGCAAAATTGTTTAGAAACGAAAATTTCAATCCTGAACTCCGTGGGATGTATTCAGGAAAACTGTTTCTGTACACATGTCCGGGATATTGTGCAAAGTGGCGTTGCTCATCAAGTCCCGAACTGATCGATGACTGCTGTCTATAAGAGGCTGGGTCTGGTGTTGAAAATTGCTGAGCGAAGGTTGAAAGAAGATTGCTTGTCTGCTGTCTAGGTGCAAACATGTCATTCTGAATTGGATGGGTTTTTAAAAGAGGCTGAGGCAAATTTCCTCCCGACGTGCCGTGAGCCACCATAGTTGTAGATTCCTCGATCCTAGTCGAGAAGCTAAAACTTGTATTGGGCAGAAGAGCATTGCATTGGCCGGATTGTTGAAACAACTCATTTGAAGACGCCTTGAAAGAACAAACATCAAAGGCTTTGTCTTCAGCTAATCGACTTGACACGTTCGTCTCTCGCTCATCCACGCTTTTTGCATCAGACCTCTTCGACTTGGAATTATAATCACGTGACGATGGCCAACTGGAAATTTTCAACTTTCTGCAAACATTCTTCAATGCAGTGAGTGATATGCCCTGCATACAACAATCATTCTGGGTCAACCTTGATCATTGCACGTACCAATTGCTTCGCGGCATCTTTTTGACGCAAATGGAACAAACTAGTGATGTCGTTTTCACCTAAAGTTAGACTCGGCTTGCCCTTGTCGGCGTCTTCCTTTTTCTTCCTTGGAAACACATGGGCTTGCTGGAAGAAACCTCCAACATACATGGCAGCCCCAACAAACCTCTGAGATGGGAAGAGAGATCGCCGTCCAGATCACTACTGAACGGGATGGGCCATTGCCTGTCGCCCTGGAAAAATCCTCGGACCAAATTCGTTGACCCGCTTAAAACTACTGCGAAGTACCGGTACTCAAGCAAAGGGTTTTGACTCTCTGGTTAAAAACGTTATAAGACATATCTCTGCGACTGTGTGGTTAAAACTTTTCCCCGTTTCTATAACAGTTAATGGAATGTATATAAAAGTTTATATATTATGAACATACCATAGATGATTATATAAAAATCGTATAAAGATCGTATAATCCATTTCACCTTCCGAATACGCTTCAACGACTGTCAGCAGAAGGCTTTAGTCAACTCTTTCAGTGGCTGTATTAACTGAAGTAACGGAAAAATAAAGAGTAAAAGTGTCAAAGGGTCAATATTGAGTAAAAAATGTCAGAGGGGTCAATATGTAGGGTTGGCCCGACTCAGGGTCTGTAACAGAGTCTGCCTCAGAGTCATCTATCCAACAAGGGAACACAGCAAGGGAACATGCAAGCTCGTGCGCCCGATGTTCTGCCTGCCGCTCGTCCGGGTTGACGGCACAATACAGGAGCTGACCTTGCAGAGCATATCTCCTGGTCAAGATCTTGTTCAGTGCTCAGGAGGAGCAGACGTGTATGGGAGAGTGAGCACGGGAGTGTCAAGATGAAGAGCATCAAGAGCTTGCTGTGCTGGGTCACTTCTCTAGCCTTGTACCCAGGTGCCTTGTCGATCCTCAAACGTGCGATGCCCCGAGCACTGACGGATATTGATTTTATGTTCGTGTCCTAATGGTGTTCAGTCTGGGTTGCTGTGCATGTCATCTTTGAACTCCAGAAGAGGGCCATGTTCCTACGGAGGTGGTGAACAGTACTAGGATGCCATGGTCTGACCCGTGACTTTGACAGCGCAAAAGGACCTTTCCTGCAAGTCACGTCCACCAGTTCTTCATGTCAACAAGCGCTTGCGGATGACTCGTTCGGCTCACTTCCTGCAGGCGACGTTGGCAAGGGAGGGAGAACTGCAGGGCACGTCCTCTTGGCGCTCAACGACGCATCCTTCACGCTACCGAGGTATCAATACGCGCATGGCGTCAGCTGAATTGTGCGAGTGATCTCTAGCTCCAGGCATGTTGAACATGAGATGGTCAAGCTGAAATCTTGCATCCGATGGGCCTTTGCCTCCGGTGCTCGGTAACGGCTGCACCGGGTTATCGCGTAGTTGATGGGCAGCAGGATCATCTCGGTGTATAACATGCATGGATGGCTGGAGGGGGCCAAGGAAAGTTTGATGACTGCACTTCAAGAGGTCGGGCATCCGAATGCTTGTTGTGTCAAGTGATGGAGGGGCAGGAGGACTTTGGGATAACCACTGTGTTGATCGGGGAGAATGGTCGTCCAGTGGGTTGGATCCGAGGAGGAACATTCCGTGAAGGAAGATGGGATGCTAAGAATGGTTGAAGAGTGTTTTCTGTTCCAGCACTATCAGATGAAGTCTGAGCAGGTGAAGAATGTGGAGCAATTTTCTTCGATGACCTAGACAGCGGCAAGCAGCGGCTGATCCAGTGTGCTAGGTGGGACGAACGACGGGTTTGGCGAGTCTGATGTTTTGAGATGCAGAGAGCTTTGTCAAGATGTCAAGGAATCGAAAGAACCTTGTCAACGGGTGGGCAACCAGATTGATCCAGGAATCCCCCTAGTCACGAATGCCTGTGGTGCCCAGATAAACGCCGGTGACATTGAAGAGCATTTGCACAAGAAGTCGAGATGCTGCAATCAGAAATGTTTTGCCCAGGTATTTTTAGCTGAATTCTTTGTTCTGAAGCCTTCACTCTTGTTCTCACTTGTGTTCTATCTTCTGCTAATGCTCTCTTTATCGCAGATTTCGCTCAGGACATCTTTGAGTCTGGACGGTCACCCCCTTCTCTACGTCCCTTCTCAGCTCATCGTTTCGGTACAGGACATACTTGCCTGCTCGTCGAGCACACCAGCGACAAGAACAGGAAGGAGATAATGATGTCATTTCCCTCCAGCTCATCTTGTTTCTTTCAGTGCGTCAGCCGTTGGGTGCCTCGACACGCCTCCCTCTGCCACCAGCTGTTCATGCTCAGTTCGCCTCCCTGAGCCAGAGATGGCCATCAGCTTCGGTCCAGCCTTTATCCTCCCGGACTACAACCCGTAAGCAGCAAGATTTCCCTGCATGAACCTCTGATGGAGGGGCAGGTGGCAAACACGGTTGACCGAGTTCTTCGAGGGAGGGGAGCTGAAGCGAGTCAAGCTTGCGGATCTGGAGGCGATCCTCCTCCGGTTCTCCTCCTCTGAAGTGAGTCAGTGCAGGCCCCTTTGTTGTTTTCTCATCACTCGTGCAGGTTCGAGTGGGAAAGTGATGGTATGGCTGCAGCCCTGCCGTTCACCTCAGTACTGAGCAGAGTGAGGGCAGGGAACATGCAACTCGCATCACTTCGACTGCGGTCTCGACTCTTGACGCTTGTCTTCCTTCTTTCGTCTTGCTGTTCTCCTCCTCCTGGCCCTGGCCTGCCTCCCTCGAATTCTCCCTCTGTGCCAGTATTCTTTTCCTTCCGGCTTTCTCCAAATCCAAATCTCCCTTCCTCCTCCACTACGTGTCACCGACTTCTTCATCTTCGTTCTCTACAGTAAACTTCATTTGATCCGCACGAGGAGGGCAGTGACGACGTCACTCCCAATGTTAACGAGGTTGTGTTGAACGGGGCCTCGAAAGAATACCACGTCATGCCCGTCTATCTGCACTGCCGCTTCTTGCAAGAAACTGTCATGACAGCATCAGGAGAGCACTTAGTCGCAGCCCTTGTCCTCACGGAGACTTGGCGCAGGGCTCGAGCGGTCCTTCAGGCGTTCTCTCTTGCTCCATCGCCTGGTCACCAAGTCACCCCCAGTAGGAAAGGATGATCAACAGGCCCACCAACTCCTGCTGCATCATAGCATCGGTCAGCTTGATCCTGAGGTCGAGTGTCTTTTCCTCGTCCCCTTCCTTCAAGGACTGCAAGATCTCCTCGTGCATGCTTGGAGGCCTTGCATCAGCACCACTCGCCCTACCCGAGACACTCAGGGCTGACTCACTCGTCTATTTCGTCGTCTCGCTCGTTCCTGCACTCACGAGCATCAGTCCTGAGGGTCTCGAGGCAGAGCATGTCAGTCACCATCCCAATCTCTTGCGGACATCCTCCAGCTCCTCGTCCGTGACTTGTTCTGCAGTTAGCAGACTCAGGCACGGCAGACTTGAGAAAGGAACGGGGGATTGAAGGGGGCGGAGGAGAAGGGGAGAGTGAACCAGAAAACAATCCATGGCCATCGCCAAGGAGCCTGTCGGCCAGCTGCTCCTTCCCGCTGTCTTTCTCGCATTTCGCTGCTCGCGTGACACGCGGGCTCTTGTGTTCCAAGGATTTCATGCTCCGACACGAGAAGAAGAAGATGAGGCCGTTAAAAGGTAACTGATGCAAGTCCGTGCACTCCTGGGGCCTCAGGACGAAGCTGAAGAAGCTGAAGCTGGATGTCTCGAAACTTGAGCACGAGAGGGTCAGAAGGAAGAGAAACAACAAGATCGCAATGTGGGGCCTCACAGATGCTTGTAGGACAAGTGAGTGAATCGCTCTCCAAACGCATGACCTATCTCTAGTGGCTTCTGAGGCTCCAACGTGACCACCTCTGCCGAGCATACTTTGAAAGAACTAGCAAACGTGTCATTCACCCAAGTGAGGATCAAACCAGTTCTGCAGCATTTCCTGGTGTCGACTGCGTGCAACCCTTTCATAGGGCAGTTTCTCAAGCATACAGTCCCCCCGTCACCGTTGATAGTCACTAGACCATGAGGCTCCTTTACCAGTCGCAAACCCTTAGACCCAGGGGAACAAGTGAACTTCATAGATACTCACAGATGATTGTATGCATATGGTAGCTTGACGGCTCTTTGTCATGCTGTCAGGGGTTGTGAATCTCGAACATCATTCAAACAAAAATCTACAAGAATGGCGACAAAATTGTGCTTGACGTCTTCTCCACACGAACAAACTCGTTTTGAAGTAAAGGAACACTGGCAGAGTTGGTTAAGGCATAGCATGTCCAGTGATGAACGTACTTGGTAATACCCCAGCTTTGTTCTTGAAGAAGCAACCCAAGTACACAACCTATAAGAATGACTTTGGATGACATGAGCCACAAGATCTAAAAAATGATTTTGATCTTTCGCTCTGGATTTGTCTTCGTATCTGACATGTCATTCATCTTCACCATCCTCTCTTGTGCCATTGTTGCTCTTTCACGCTTCTTCCCGCTGCCGCCTACTGCTTAGCTTCCAAGCATGGTGAACGAGATCCGTTCCTCTCCCACCCCGGTGGTTACTCATTAAAGATGGGTGGGGTTGTGGGTAAAAGGAGTTATGGTAATTGGTTGCAATAAGTTTGGGGTAAATTGAATTCTACACAAAACCAATTTGACGAAAAATCGTAATGAGACCTTCATTTTTGAAACATTTTTCAAACTTGATGGACCCTTGTCGGAAAAGCTCACGATATTGGCGACCGGAGCGAACATGCAGCTCGAGCGTAGAGCAGGCGCCATCGCATGCGGCGAAGATGCAACAGATGAAGCGACGATGAGCAGCCATCTTGCAAGAGTCGTTGACATGGCTGAAGATGAGCAGGAGGAGATGAACGCCGCTTGCAAGATGGTTCAGGTCCTTGTGAGGAACTGGACCAGCAAGACCCTTGTGACCTCGATGCAAGTCCGAGACATGCAGGGGCTGCATCTTGCCCTTGAAGATCTTGTTGGGTTGCCACCTGATGAGCAGCTTGTTACAATTTCTGGTATAGCCTGCCTTAAGGATGAGCAGGTTGCGTCTCTGAAGCCATGGAGCATGGTAGAGGTGCGCCCAAGATGCCTGGGCGGCAAGGGAGGTTTCGGTGCCATGCTTCGTGGACAAGCTTCGCGACCTGGGATGAAGAAAGTGCAGGCAAATACAGGAGCCATGCGTGACTTGAGTGGAAGGAGACTTCGCCATGTCGAGCAGGAGGCTCAGCTCCAAGAATGGGCAGCTGAAGAGGAGAAACGGAAAGAGCAAATAGAAAAAGAGAAAGCAGCAAAGCGACAGAAATTCGCTCACAATGTGCATGAGGAAGCTGTAAACTACGTTGCAGAGGCTATAGTTGACAGGGATATGGTTACGGACGCAGTCAAGCAGGGAATTTTCGGTGAGAAGAACAGGAAGGAAGTTAGTTCACAAGAGGTCCCCAAAGCTATGATGTCAGCCAAGAAGGTGATCCCGATGGATGATACGTAACCGATCGCTCTCATCCTAACATTTGTGCTTAGCTTGACAAGATTTGGAACGTCGATGAGTTTGAAGATGATGACGAAGAAGACGGCAGTGCCGATCAGGTACATCTACATGTCTCGTTTCTGGAATTCTGAATTTGCCCAGATACATCCTCAAGGCAAGGCAAAGCAACCAACAACAGCAAAGGAAGCGTCTGCGAAGGTGGAGAAGGAAGATGTTGCTCAAGCGAAGAAGGCGGAGGAAGGAGCTCAGAAGGAGAAGGCAGAAAAGAAATCTGAAGCACCTGAGAAACCGGAAACAAGTGCGGCAGTAGCGAATAGCAAGGAGCAAGACGAAAAGGTCACTTCCTGTCACAGCTCGCTCTTTGATTTTGACGAGAATATATGCAATGTGCAGGCTCAGAGCAAAGAGACGACGGAAAAAGTAGGAACCAACCCCTGAGCTGTAGGGTCTGACTCATTTGGCGCAGCCCAAGGAGGATGGAAACGCAGCGCAGGAACTAGAAGATATTGATATCGACAAGGTGTCCGGATTGCTTCCATGTCGTCGGAGACTGATGTATCCTGGCAAGGTCCCCGACCAGGACACCCTCCTCAAGTACGGCGCTGACAGACTGAAATTTGCACTCGCAAAGAGGTTTTGCAAGGGAAGAGGAAAGCTGGTGTATTGACCTTGCTCGCAGGGGCCTCAAGTGCGGAGGAAGGCCTGAAGAGAGGGCTCAGAGGCTGTGGAGGTATGCCCTGTGCCCTTGCTGAAGTTCTCGTTGATGCTCGTCCTTGGCAGCATCAAGGGGGTCCCACCTGAGAAGTGGCCTGCTAAGATCAAGCAGGGAAAGTAGATGAGTAGAAGGTGAGATTTCTGTTTCGGGGACTACAGGAGCGCTGCTCATTTTGATGTGACAGTGAAGCAATCTTTAACTTTTTCTTTTCATACCACAAAAATCACAAATTCTATCATACACAATGTTGGCAGCCTCTCGACTCATCTGCTCCTCTTCCCGACCACTTGAATGCGGAATCCTCGAATAGGTGAATCCTCATTGCTGGAATCTCGCCGTTTGGTCTTCTTGAGCTCCTCGAACTGTGCAGGATTGTGAGCTTTCGCTCCATGATTGGCAAAACAATAGGTGCCTGGTCAAGCTCTTTGATGAAATACTCCCTACGCCGTTGATAATGATCCTGAAGGATCTGGGAGGCTTGTCAATCATCGAGTAGATCCCTTGCACGATAGACTAACCTTCGACTTCCTCCCCTCCTGTCTTGTCATCATCATCTTCTCTATGTTGGCATGTTCCCGGCAATGAAGCACCTGGCAGAGTATCATCGCTAGCATTGCAGATCCAATCCCACGTCGGATTCATATTCTTTCAGAACGTATCCTGGCACTCTGTCAAGCTCAGTGACAAGCCTCTCTTGAGAGGAGTCCCGCCTCCCTCCCATTCCTGCCGATGCCATCACAAGCTCTAAGAAAGCAGCGGCAACGCACGTGAGCTCGTCAGCCTCGGAAGAGTTTCCTGCGAGCTGCCTTGAAGAAGGGGGCTGAGGACCGACCTGGATCAGCCGAGGAAACCAAAGGAGGAGGCCTCACATGTCGGTGGGGGCGATCTTCGGGGCTTGCGACAAGATCCCTTGGAACTCTTGCGGTATTTCAATCCAAGGCTTGCCGTCTGCCTGGACCATCACATACAAACAAAGGCTGTTTTAACCTCTACCTTGCCGAGACAAGGGCCTTGGTCTTGTCCACCAGGGGCCCTCAGCCTTGGCAGCTCTCGATGGGCCACCTTCCCCCAGCTGATGCAGTGCTGCCTCCATTCCAAGCGCCATTTGCATGTCAGGGTCTCGATTGTTCTGTCTCAACAGTCACAACACATCTTGGAAGAAGGGACGTGCCTTTTGTCTCTCCTTCTTCTCTTCGATCCTCCTGTTTCTGGCCTCCTCAGCGTCCGCCCGTGCCTCCTCCATCAAGTGCTCATCATCCACGATCGCAATGTTCTTGTAGTCTGCAAACAAAACTTGAAACCTCTCCAGCGAATCGCCGATATCTCGCAGCTCGAAAGCTTCAAAGTTTGGTTTGATGAGATATCTCGGGATTGATGTCTGCAGTCGCCAATCAACCTCCCGGCAACCAGACAGAACATTCATGTGCAGAAAAAGTACTTACGTTTATCATCCGCCTGAAGCCAAATTTCTGAAAGAAAGCTTTTGCCCCTACGTTCTCTGCGTGTACTCTGCACAGAGCGCTCTTGTAGTTCTTCTTGGCGTAAGTGACGAAGAGAGAGAAGAGCAGGACAGAGCCTAATCTTTCTCTCCGACAGTCCTGTCGCACCCACAAGTCACAGATCTCCAAGGAATGTGTTTCCTGGTATTTCACTGATTGCGCCCGAATCAATCCGTTGAGCGGGATCTTGCGGAGCTTCTCAACGTTCTTGATAAGAACGAGAAGCATGCCTACGTCGGCGTTGGACTGCACATCCTGCATCCAAGACAGGGATGGGATCCGGTAGGGCGGGTGCTTCCCGTCCACTTCTGTCTCCCATGCCACGTAGCTCTTCTCCAGCCGCGCGGCATGGTTGGAGCTCATCTTCATGCTTGGAACCCTCACTACGCAGTTGAAGGCGGCCGAGATCTTGTCGAGGAGGAGATGAGAAGAGTTCACGTTGGTTTGTGTATTCATCGCCCTCTTCAGCAGCTGCCAACACGTGCCGTCCTTGGCGAGATCGATCGGCCTTTGCTTCAGCGCATCTTTTGTGTGAGGGTCTGCTCCGTGCTTCAGCAGCAAGCTAACAACGTCGGCATTCCTTGAAATCGCAGCAAAGTGCAGACAAGTTCTCAAGGAGGAACGTTCTTGCAGTGGATGCACTGTCTTTGTAACATCACACTTGTTCTTGATCAGAAATTCGCAGGATGAAACTTTCCCAGCCGCTGCAGCATGGTGGATGGGGAGGTACCCGTCCCCATCATACTCGTTGACTATATTTCTGCTCAGGTTCTTGAAGAACGATACGATCTTTTCGGCACTTGCCACATCGCCTCTGATCAAGTCCAAGTGAAACTTCTCTTTGTTCTTCCTTGCGTTTCGTTCAGCAAAAAGAAAGTCCATGCTTTGAGATCTTCTGATCTACTGCTGCTCATCACATGACCGAACTACAATCGATACTTCAAGCGCTTCACTACAACGCTGCTTTCCTTGCCCGCGATCTTACAAGTTATCCCTATAGCAGACTCGACTTGTACTACCGTAAGTTAGTCGCGAGCATGGAACGTGCGTCCATCGGAGCTGGCGATTCTTTCACGCCATGGCGATCATGGCAGTCGGTTCCTTGGCAAACCCAGTGGCCCAAACCGCCTCCGAGGCTCGGGCCTACTGGCCGGCCCGGTGGCCCGGGCCTGGGCCCCGGTGGAATCTGAGTAAAAGCTTTGAGATGGTAGGATCTGTGGGATCCACGAACTTGCGAGGGTTCTAGCTGAGAGAGGGAGAGGGAGGAGCAGGAGGCTGAGGTAGACCTTGAGGCGAGGCGAGGCGAGTAGGGGAGGAGAGGATCTCAAGGGGAGTCAGTCGTTGTGATCCTCACTCGACACACAACTTGTCCCTCCTCGCGCAAAGCTGCACAGAACAAAGAAAGTGCAACAGAATCGTGACTTTGTTTGCCCGCAGTGCCGAAAATGGACAGCGACGAAGATGAAAATTTCGATACCAACTTCTCCGACCATGAGGACGAGGACACGGGGGAGGTGCAGAGAGAATGAGGGGTACCTTGACTGGGTCCAAGTAATCTTTCGCCTCAGATCCAAAGCAAAGAGATGAACATAATCTTCTTGTTGGATTGCAGTGAGAAGATGCACAAGGAGATGAAATTCAGAGTGAGACGACAAACTTTCTCAGCTCTCACGTGACGAGCACGGCAGGACACCAAGACAGGAAAAGAAGTCTCCGATACGTATTTCAACCGGAGCTTGAGGGCAATATTCGACCTCTACCGAGACAGAGTGATGCTCCATGGCTTCTGCGCATTAGATTTAAACGCTCCTTGTTCTTTTTGCAGATTAGATTCACCGATAGAGACATGTTCGGCATTATCCTGTTCAACACAAACTCAAATGAGAACAGGTGATACTCATTTGGGTCAACCCATCTCTAAAGGCTCTTGCAGTTTGCAAGGTGTGAAAGTTCTGTCGAAGCTGGATAAGTTGAATGTTGAAAGGATCAAGGAACTGAAGGAATTGCTTGGTTGATGACTGCTATCTCCCACCTCAATGTATGATGTGTTGCTTCCGACAGAGCAACCACAAACAGACCGAAAGAAGTGCTCTAGCTCCACCAGTGGGACAAACCACTTGCGATTTGGCCTGTGGTGTTGCATGGAGGAGTTCCAGGTGAAGAAGATCTCGATCTAGTCCCGTGTCAGATTCACTGAGACGTGAGGTAAGGGCTCCAAAAAGGATGCTTCAAAAGAAATCTATCTCCTCACATGCGATTCAAATCCCTTCCCGGGCTCCTCCAAGATGGAGAAGTAACCAAATTGTTCTGCAACCCGTTGGATCTCACAGTTGTTGCAGTGACTGCATACAGAAAGCAAAGGATTGCTTGGACAATATGACTGTATGTCCTTTTATCACGTGGTGTATTCTTCCCACCTTAACACATCTGAGGCAGAAGATCGATGTTTTCCCCCTGAGGGACGCCCTGAACGGTGAGGGCGGGAGTGACAACGAATCGGGCTTCAAGGGTGTCAACTTCTACAGAAAGCTGTCGGTAACAATTGCTGTCGTGCTGCGATCTGAAACGGATGACAGGCTGGAGCTCTTCTTCGACTCCTCCCCAGAGGTTGCGGAGGAAATTGACTATCGGCTTTCCGAAAGGTCCCCAGACCCGAGCTCTGCAGTGGGACCTGAATGTAGTCGACAGGACGTTGTGTGAGTTGCAGAGTGAAATCGAGAAAGGAATATCTATGAGAAGCTTTTCTACCGTCAATTGGTTCATCACTTCCTCGTTCGATGGGGATGGAAATCTTCAACGTAAGCCAAAGAACGATCTAGCCGTGCCAGTCAAGGTGATTCATTTGTGCATTGCAAGCAAGGTATTAGCGTAGATCCATCCCTACCACAAGGAACTGATCCTCGGCATTTCATAGAATTACAAGAAGTCCAAGGAAAAATCTTCTCGAGACAACAAAGACATTGTGGTATGTTGAATACACAGTGGTGCTCCAATTTTGTGACTTGCTCGAAGAAAACAAGCAGAATTCTTTCGAAAGAAACTGGAGAAATCTTGATGGGATCTGTAAGCTGCACTGCATGTTGCATTTCTTACAATGACGAACTTTGAAAGGACATTGTTCGATCGATCGATGTCGGCCCTGATCGGGTGATCTTCACCAATGAAGAAGTGCAGAGGATCAGGACGATGGGGCTACCCAAAGAGATCCGATCTTTAGGTTACTGTATGTATTTTATTCCAGCGCAGCTGACCGAAATCATCTTTCAGGTTTCATGTCGAAAAGTTTGGTTGAGCAACGTTACAACTATAAGGGCTCCTACTTTCTCATCCCCAACGAGAAAGCTGGTAATGGTACGACCGCAGTGTTCCACAGCTTCATCGAGGTGAGTGCTTGTCTTCTTTTCTTTGCATCCTCTTCATGCTCAAACTCGTCTCGGAAGGTTATGATCAAGGAGGATGTCGCCTCACTCTGCTACATCAAGTTGAGGGAGAACGCAGAGCCAAAGCTTGCTGCGTTGCTCCCCCAGCGAGCGAGTGACGTGGATGACGTCCCGGCCGGCTTCCACGTCGTCTTCCTCCCCTTCAAGGGCAACATCCGTGAGACCTCCTCTCATCTCTCGTACTCCCTTGCTCGCTCATGTCAGCGTGCAGGCAAGATCCCGCCGCATCCACAAGTTTGGTATCCTCCGTCCTCTCACGGGGCCTGAGCCGTCGCTGACGTCACCTCTCCGCAGCCCAGACAAGGTTGACGAGGGGCTACAGAATGCTGCCTCCGAGGTGAGTCGTCCTCCTCGGCTCTGTGCGGCATGACAAAGTTCCGACCGGCAGCTCGTCAAGTCCCTCAACTACGAGTCCTTTCCGACGTCCTTCGAGAATCCGCACATCGTCAAATGGATGACTCACTTGGAGGCCCACGCGCTCGGGGTCCCTTCCTTGCGCCTTGTCGGGCTCGTGGGTTGATCTGCCATGCAGACTGAAGCGAACGAAAAGGAAGTGGAGGAGGCGCTGGCGAAGATCAGACCCGACGAAGCCGCCATGGGGTCAAAGAAGGTGCTTTGCTTCCAGGGGCTGCCTTCTCCGCTCATGTGCGGCAGATCGTGAGCATTGTGGAGCGAATTAAGAGTTCTGCCGGCGAGACCTTCGTGGAGGGCGAACAGGGGCCTGCGAAACGCGTGAAGAAGGTCGAGCGACTTGGATAGTCGCACGAAAGAATGACGAGTGAGGCAGGAGACGACAACATTCAAGGTGGAGGGCGAAGACGAGGTGAGTTGCCTCCTTATTCTTCCTCATGTTGGCAGCTGAGGCACAAGTAGATCGTTTTGGATAATCTGAAAGTCGACCAGCTCAAGGAAATGTGTAAAGGTTTCGGCATTCGAGTCACTGGGAAGCGAAAGGATGAACTGATCCAAGCCCTCAAAGACCATCAGGCAGCTGCTTGATCTCAGGCTGTGAAGACTTTGAAGCGAATCGGAGGAATGACACGGATTGTGTTGATCATGACGCCGCGACTCAATGGGAATGTGCGATTGTGGCATGAGACGAATGAGTGCGAATTTGTTTGTATTTCAATGTAGCTGGTATTGTTGATGCCAATCAGTATCTTTCTCCCCACCCCTCCTCCCTCCTCCCTCCTCCCTCCTCCCTCCTCCCTCCTCCCTCCTCCCTCCTCCCTCCTCCCTCCTCCCTCCTCCCTCCTCCCTCCTCCCTCCTCCCTCCTCCCTCCTCCCTCCTCCCTCCTCCTCTGAACGAAGGTTTGGAACTTCTACTCGAACGCAGTTAGGAGCCGCTTGTACCCCCACCCACAGAAGATACACCTACCTCTACCCCTGACCCGTTGTAGGAAGAAACTACCCCATAAATTTCATGGAAAATCTCATAGTATTACCCCACCCCTACTAGACCTTCCCAACTCACACCCACCCACCACCCCCGACTTGCTAAAGTGCGTTGAGTGAAAATTGGTGGCCTCCGTTTTAGCACGAGGTATGGTAGCGGCCAGGAGAGGATGGAGGCGGTTGAGGACGGGAAGAAGCAGCAAGAGGAGGGAGGAGACGAGATGATCTTATTCATTAGAAGCATACGAGTAGTTCTTGTCAGTTTGATTACGTCAATGTGAGGATGATATGAGTAATCTCTTGCCTTTCTGCACGATTTTTCAAAATCAATCAGCCGGCTCACCCTTAAGCTCGCCTGGAATTAGCAGCAATGCCGTGAATGAGAAGCATCCTTATCTCTAAAGAAGTTCAGAAGCTGAAGCTTGTTACATCTTTCGGTCCTGAAGAAACAATGCATTGAAGCGCTGAGAGGAGAAAGAAGATACCACATCCCCAGTGTACATCCACCCCCAATGCCTTTGTCTTCCGATGGCTCTCAGGGAGACGCTTCTGTACTTGTAGCTCTTCTCGTCTCTCTCGTCTACTCTTCAACTGTTTTTGCCAATCCAATCAGTACATGCACGCAACCCAGGACACTGCCTCGCTCCGTTGCAATGGGACAAGGCGCAATGCAGTCGAAGAGGCAAAGAACAAGTTCACCAGACTGGAGTGAGCAAGTGAGAAGCTCGTTTGAGACATCGCAGGGCGGGCAAGTCGATGCTTTTCATGCTCAGTGGGAATCAGCCGGACTGGACTCCTCGTCCGGTTTACCTTCCCCCAGCTTCGTTTCGAGTGTGGAGGGTCATACTCACAACGACGTGGAGCTTGAGAACAGCTTCTTCAGCGCCGAAATCTTCCCTGAGTTTTCTCTTGACTCCGACTCTCGTCACAGCAACAAGCCGAAGCGGCGGCACGGATGGAGGACATGCACGTACATCGAGGGATGCTGCAAGGCTGCAAACTTTGGGGACCCGGTCGACGGGAAGCCGATCTTCTGTTTGCAGGTTGGGGGTGAGCTCGCCTGGTCTTGTGGTTTGTGACTTTGACTTTTCAGCACAAACTTCCGATGCACAAGAACGTGGTGAGCCGCAAGTGCCAGCACGTCGGCTGCAGCAAACGGCCTGTCTTCGGGGAGCCCTTCAGCAAGGTAGACAGAGATGGACGGAGGTTGTGGGTTGTGACATGTTGCTTGAAAGAAACCCGGGTACTGCAGAGAGCACAAGTCAGCGCATCATGTGGACGTTGCGAACAAGAGATGTCAGTTCCCAAACTGTCGTCGACACCCTGTGTTCGGCGACGCTCGCGTCTACCTGGAACAAGCTGAGGTCTGTCTTGCCTGCTCACATGTCCGATTCTAAATCACGGGGTCACAGCAAGTGGAGGCAAAGTTTTGTGCGAAGCACAAGCTGACTCATCATGTGGATGTTCGACATCGGAGGTGTGAGTTCCAGAACTGCACGAAGCTTCCCTCCTTTGGCTGGCACAACGACATGATCCCCCGGTGCTGCTCTACACACAAGAAGGACGGGCAGGTGGCGCAAGCTGACCGCAGCAGAAGCTTGTCTGACCTCCTTCTCACAGGTCTACGTGGCGTCTCGTCTGTGCCAAGAGAAGGAGTGCAAGAAACGAGCTTCATGCCTTGTGCCCGATGGAGTAGGAAACAAGTTTTTCTGGTACCCTTCTCTTGCTCTTCTCTCCTCTACATGCCCCTGACTAGCATCTGCAGCTCCTCTCATCGACCCCACGGCGAATTTTATCGCCTGCAGCCTGTCAAAGGTGAAGTTGACCGAAACCGCTGTATCAAATTTGACGTCTAACGCTCGCTCAGCTATCCCGTGCAGTGACCTCAGGAAGCCCATGCTACTCAAGAATGCCGTTAACTTGCCTTTGCTCTTGTGAATTCCTCTGGCAACAGCTCCTTGTTTTCCCCCTTTCCCAAAGTGAATGTGAACGCCAATTTTTCCCGTGAATATTGTAGAATAAACAGTCAGACCTCATTTAATAGGCAACGATTTAAGCAATCTTTTGTCATCAATTCATTTGTATGTGTAATCTTGGTCGTCATTGCGAATTTTCCAGTGTCCTCATCCGACTCTCCACCAAAGAGATCCGTTTGTCCATCACCAACACCGTGTCGTTGAGGATTTCAAGCTGTCGCAACACCTTGTGCTACGAAAAGGTGTTAAAAAATTAATAGCATACGCAAACACCTACCATCACGTCTTCCACACTGAGCGCCTGTGCAAGCGCAGGGGCAGGGGCTTGTTCTGCCTTCTCCTCCTGCACTTCCTGTTCGTAAGTTTGGCTCGAAGCAGGGTCGTTGACGTCAGCGGCATGAGGTTGAGCTTGATGCATCGCTTGTTCCCCCTTGTTTTTTTTTCGACTTCCTCCATCCACAGCGCGAGCAGCAGCATCTTTTGACATCGGAATGAGATCCTGTTGAAACTTCTTTTGAATATCTCGATTCTGTACATCTTGATATCAGGTATCAGAGTGGAGCAATGTTTCCTCAATACCTCAGCATTGTCATCCGCATTCGGCGCCCTCTCTTGGAGCTTCTTCGCTTGTTTTTGCCTATGACATACAAGAATCATGCACGTCTCACAATCTTTGACATAATCTCACAAGCTGACTTTTGCATCTTGCGCAGCGCTGGTGTTCGAAGACAAGTTTGTTTTGAAGACGAGCAGATTCTCGTCGTTGGATGCTGTCGCCAGATAATCTCCCTGAAGAAATAATCAACAGAGCAACTCGCAATCGTCCTGCTCTCACCGTCGGCGAGAAAGCAACTGATCGGACAGCTCCTTCATGCCCGTGCAACGTGTAACAGAGATGTCCCTCACGCAGGTCCCAGATCTGGCAAGACAGTGATCAGAGGCAGCTGAACGAAGCTCACTACCAACCTTTGTTGTCATGTCCGACGACCCCGACAGCATGTAGTCGCCGGACGGGTGGATACTGATGCTGTTCACGCTGTCCTTGTGCCCAGCGTAATGCTGCAGCAACCTGCCGAAGGACAGCAACCCAATGTCACGATGGGCTCGACGTAGGAGCAAGGAGAAAAGGACTCTCAGGACAAGTCCACGCACTGATTCATCCGGATGTCCCAGATGTTGATCGTATGATCGGCACTGCAGGCAACGACGCACAAGCCGTCTGGATGGAACGCGACGTCGTTCACCGCACTTCGATCAATCGTGAGGAGTGAAGTCAGAGAGAGGAAGTCGATACCCAGTGTGATCGTAGAACGTCTGGACACAGTTCCGCTGCGACACATCCCAGAGTCGGACGGTTTTGTCATCGCCTGTACCCGGGTGACGACAAGACAAACTTGATGCTTTCCCTTACCTCCTGAGACAACCAAGTTCCCTTGCGGGTTGAACTTCACAGACCTCACCCAGTTGCTATGGCCGCTCAGCGTCAGCTTGAACTTCTGTCCTGCCAGTGTCCACATCTAGCTCGAGTTCAGTTGCCGTTGCCAACTTGCATCGAAATCCACCTTGAGAGTTTTGTCATCAGACGCACTCATGAGAGAAGAGGAGTCGGGAGAGAAGGAGACACATCGGACGCCCCCATTGTGTGCTTTGATCACGGACGAACGGCCTTTGCTTCTGCGAGGACGGATTCAGCTCTTGTTTTCATGTCGAGCAAACCTATTACATGTTGGGCGCCCACAGTCTGATCGTTCTGTCTTTGGAGCCCGATGCGATGATCCCGCCTGTCGGCGATATCGCAACGGAGTAAACAGGCTCCTGTTCATCGGGAGTCATTCAGACGATGCGCTGCAAATGCTGGATCACCGTATGCTCTGCGAAACGAAATGCACGTAGCTGTGGCTTGAAGTTCCAGATCATGAGGCAGCTGTCTTGAGACCCTGATATCAACTGTTTCATGTTAGGGTTGAAGACGACGCTGTTGATGGCATCCTTGTGTCCACGGAAGGATCGCTCCAGAGTCGGATCCTCGCTGAACATCCTCTTGGACTCTGACGAGGCAACGCCTGCATCACCGAAGTCACATCGGGCCCTCGCAAATCATGTTATGGGAGGCAGCTAACTCCCTGCCTACAAACACGAGTCTCCAGCTCTTCCTTTCTGTCCTTGGCTATCAACAAACTTTGCCTTTCTCCTCTCCCATGTGGTCGTTTCCGTTGCATCCCGCCAGTGCAGTTCTCATTTCCTCACGATATGAAGTTCGTACACCCATGCCCCTCGAGCACACTCTCGCCTCTCCTATCCCTCCCCCGCCTCCCGATCTCGCTTCTCTCTGAATGTACTACGCCTCCTCTTCTATCTCCTCCCCTCTCCTCCTTCCCACTCCCCTCGCTTGCTCCAGCTCCCTACGCTTCGCGCCATTTGCCCGTCACCCTGCTATTGCCCTCATCCCCGATCGGAAAATCATCTCCCTCATATGCACCGAGGTACTTTTCTTGCAGGTGTAACCGTTTTGTAACCACTGCCTCTTCAATGCTGTTCGTGGCGGTGCCTATAGCGCTCGGCGGAGGCCCAGACATGTTCAACTGTGCTGAATGTAAGAGGAGGATGGAAGAGGGACACAAGATAGCTAGCGATCCTTGGACATGCAGCAAGCACAGAACTTGTAGTCTCTGTGGCTTCGGGGGAAAGGAAAGGAGCCGACGTAGCGATGGGAGGAGGGCGGTTTTGAGCAGAAGTATGGTGGGTAGGGGAAGGGGATGAAACGGTTGATAGCTATGTGAACGTGAAGTTGCACAGTGCCTGAACGCTTCTGTGCACGATTGAGTGCTGGAGGGCGATCGGCTTGCATTGAACATTCGTTTTAGGCATCGAGAACCAGGTCGGGCATCACAATGGATATAGCTGCCCACCTGGCAAGAGCATGAATGGTAAGATAATTCCTCTGCTCTTCACCTACCCATCTGTCTGGAATGTTCATGCTCTTCCGCTGTCCTTGGATCTGAAAGCTCCCTGCTCTTCACATGTTTTCGGATGTTCACGGTTGGGACACAGGGATCCCATACTGCCAGGACACCCTCACATGGGACAAGAAGGCCCCCGTCGTCGCTTTCTTGTAGTGATTCCTTATGTATGTGCCAAGTACACATGTGTCATGTGTCATGTGTTACATGTCTGTAAGTACCGCTATCTCATCTAACCCAACCCCTTATCCTCTTCCACCATCACTCCACGGAATTTGCCAGGTGTAAGCTCGCCGGTGCTCGCCCTCGTTATGATTTCTTCTCTCGGCTACGTGTCGAGCAAAGGTGAGAAGAGAAGGTTGGAGGGTCCATATCGACTCTCTGCCATGAAGTTTGAAGGATGAAAGCAAGCAAGGGATCCACATATACCGATAGAGTATCCCATCTCTGTCAAGAACGATGAGACCGGTCCATCGCCGTCGGCCTCTCTCGCCATGTCGACCTGAGCTCGAATGTTAACGGCTGCCCTTGACAGCCGGCGCTCCTGACCTCGACGAAGATCTCGGGACGATCGCGGAGGAGGAGGTTCCTTGCCCCTTGTCTGCCGCACGCCGGTCAACCAGGGCAACAAGAGGCTGAGGGAGGGGATCACAGGATCTCCATCTCCGACCCCTCGGAGTCGATCTTGATCAGTCTGACGTTGGTGATGCTATCGCGCTCGACTATGTCATCGAGCTTCATCAGCTGTACAGGCTGCGATTCTCTCAGGCTCTGCAGATGGGCCTTGTTACAGTGTTCTCTACCTGCAGTCGATGGCACAAAAGCCCTTCATGGGAATCTGAAGGAGAAGGTCAAGAGCAGCGCGAGAAGAGGGAAGGAGCAGATCAACCGTGGTCGAGGGAGATCCTTGACATGCCCGACAGGCCTGTTGAGACGTCACGCGTCTTTGAGGCATGCGATGTGATGGAAGTGTACACCTGTCTCCGTCATGTCGCACATCTCAGCTGTCTTGGACTCGTTCCAGAGTCTGAAGTAGATTCTCAACGTGTCAGGAGGATGATAAAAATAACACAACAGACGAGATGTCAGGAGTATGAAAGATCGTTGCGAACAACAAAGCATGGGATTCTAAATGAATGGGATTCTAGCATCATTCCAAACTAGGCAGCGGGTCAACTCACCCGAAGTTGTAAGCTCTAATCTGATTCTGGACTCCATTCACCGCGATGTTTCCCAGCAGCACGCGATAGTTGTTAGGGATGGGCTCGAATGCCGCGACCTGAGAATGGGGAGTGAGATGGAGAGCGCAGAGGGTCATTCACCATGATCTCTGGCGAGCCAAGAGCTAGCATGGAGAAGCAGCCAGTGTTGGCTCCGATATCGACGAAAGTGATTTTTTCCTCTTGGTCTCCTGTCAAACTTGGTCACTTGCCTGCCAACCGCAAGCCCGCAAGGAGGGAGATCGAGCGACAACCGGTCGGCAGCATGTAGAGAATCCTCCTCAGCAACAACTCCACCTGGTCGTACAGCCGTCAGAGCTGAGACACGCCTGTCGAGGGCCCTGACGCCTCACCTCGTCAGGGTCCGCCACGTTGACGTTCCCGTTGAGCAGGTCCGAACCAAAACAACCGCCTGCGAGCTACTTCAGCTCCGACTCGCTTCCGATGAGCCCGACCCATCACGATAGACTCTGGTACCACTCGCATCCCCTGCGTGTGCTGGGGTGCCGCCACCACCGCCATGCTGAAGTCCTTCAGCCAGCTGGGAGATGTCAGAGCGGCGCTGGACAGCCGGAGACGGGAACCTGAGTGAAGTCATCCTGCTGAGGAATTGCTGGACAGCAGCCTCCTTGATGGCAACTTTCTTCCCTTGCTGCTCTAACGCTCAGCTCTAGAGCATGCTCCATCCTTCGCCCTCACCTGTGCCTGCCGAAGACCCGCTATGGCAGAGAAGAGCGGGGGGATCACTTGGATGTTGTGCTGAGGAGAATTTGTCCTGAAGGATTCCAGCAGGTTGATCGCTTCCTCCACATCCTCTCGCATCAGGAACAACTGCGTCAACACGGAAACTTCAACTTGAGAGGAAAGGGAGGCAACCATTGCAATCGAGACCGGGATAGAGAAGAGCGTCGCCTCATGAAGGTCTGGGGCAAGACGCTTCGCTGTCAGCAGCGCTCTGCGGGGTCGATCAGACCCTCTAGGTGTGACTGAGCAAGGAGGAGGGGAAGGGCACGACACCTGAAGGACAGCAGGAGGATATTGCTATCAGCGAGGTACGCAAACTGCTGTAAGAAATATCCCAGCTACGAGGCAGTGAATCACGAGACTTGTCTAACGTCATGCGCTGACCGTTAGGAAGTATGAAGGATCCTGGTGGAGATGAGGAGAGTCCCAATGTAACTCCATTGTCCTGAGCATGTACCTCCTTGCCCACTTCTCCTTGGAATCATCGAGCACCAGATTCATGGACAGGAAATACCTGAGCCCGTCATAAGATCGCGAGACGAGGAAGACTGGAGTGACCTCTGCGGTATCGAGAGCTGATTCAAGAGGAAGGGCGTGTATGCTACCTCTCTGATCGGGCGAGAATGACGAGTTTCTGATGATCTGCGATTCAAAATTCGTGAGGAGAAAGCTTAATCGAGGGAGGGAGGGAGGGAGGGAGGGAGAGTTAAAGGAAGGGAGGAAGAGGCCCGGAGGGAGGGAGGGTGGGAGTGAACAGGGAAGAAGGAAAAAGAAGAGAGTAGTAAGGAGGAAGACAAGGATTTTTCACTTGTGCGTGCAGTATCTTGAAGCAAGGAAAGGCTGCAGTTGTGATCTGCAAAGAACTTGTTGTCATGGAGGGTGAAGCAACGGAGCTGTCGAGGACTCACTGACACAGGCTTGACCAGTACTCGAACAGAAACCCCTGGAACGCACAACCGGAGCACACGTAGAGATCTACCTGCTTCACTCCAACACGTCATCATCGAGACAGGTTACGGAGAGCGTTGGGTCAACCTGGACGTCGGATTGTTTCAGGTTGAACGAGGCCTCCGACGAGTAGAATATGTGAGGCCAAGGCCACTGACCCGCAAACAGCAGCGCGATCATCCTAGATCTCCCTTCCATCCTCACGTCCAAGAGCTCGACGTTGCCCGAGCTCTCGCTGCTCGCACTCGCACACCCTGCTTCTTCTTGCCGCCATATCAACTCTACGAGGGCTTGCTCGGAAGGCCCCGATGCTGATGCAGCACGAGGTTGGTGCTTGGCAACAGCTCTGAATGTGAAGTGACCAAATTTATCACGAGGATGGGGGGGTGAGGAAGTGAGTCCGCAGAGCTGCGACGCGAGTGCATCCGCTGTCATGTTGCTCATGAAGGCAAAGGATCCCCTTCGTACCCAGACATCAGGCGCAGGCCTTCCCTGGGCGGCCACGTTGGACAGGAAAGAAATGTGGATGACCGCGAGGAAGAGCGTAACGACTCTCCCGCACGAGACATGCTTGAACCTCGCGCCTCCGTGCAACCTCAAAACTTTTTTCGTGGTGGGGAACGAAAGCACTTCTTCGGACTCGCCATGCACCACGGAAGTTCGAGCGGGAAGTTCTCCCATGAGAGAGGAGGAGCAAGCAGTGAGCTTCCTCCTTCTGTTCTACTCCACCATCGTCATGCGCTCGATTCAGCATCGTCACCTTGTGTGGGCCTCCCACTCTGCCGTCATGTTCACAGGATCCCTTTCCCACTTCCCCCCTCATCCCCATCATACTCGGGGGTCAACCCGCGGTCAACCGCCGGCCTGCTGCCTGCAGTGCCGCCTGCTGTTCTGTCACAGTGCCTGCTGTTGGCCTGCTGCCGCAACCAGGGCGACGCCGCGACTCGGCCCGGCCGGGCTGCCGGTAACTGATAGTAACCGTTGCAGGTCAACCCTGGGGCCCGAATCGGCCGCGGCAGCTCACGGCTCAGTGCGTTTTGAGCTGCAACGGTCACGGTCATATGGGAAGGCTACGATTTAATAACTGAGAGTCAGTGAAGGAGCTTCGAAGACTCGATGATGTTGCGAGAGATGCCGTCGGCCTCGGCCAGCGAGAAATCATGCAAAGGGACCTGCGAGGTCAGACGGTCAGACGAGAATCAAGCAGAGAGAAGGGCGAGCCTTGCGGATCTCTTGCCACAAGTTGGAGGAACTTGACAAGGGAAGGGACCGGGGAGCCTCCTCCTTGTGTACGATCTCCTTCTTCCGGGGCTGAGACTGAGTGGAGCGCGAGCTCTCCATGACCTTTCGAGCATAGAGCTCAGACACAGTGCTGGGGGAGAAAATATGGTGGAGGGAGTGTACCTGGGAGGACGCAGGTTCTAGAGATCTGAGGGGATCAACATCAACATCGAGGATCATGTCGCCGACACTTCCTGCTCTCATTGCTATCAGTCTCGGGCAGCTGGGGAGGAGGAGGAGGAGGAGGAGGAGGAGGAGGAGGAGGAGGAGGAGGAGGAGGAGGAGGACCTCCAGTCTCTATCAAGGAGAGGTCTTCTTGCAGCTTCAACGCTCCACTCAAGGTTTGCGCCTGCTCGTTTCGAAGCCCCTCCCCTCCTTCGACCTTCTTGCTGTACTTGAGAATGCTCGCCAGCTCCCCTCGCCGCTCAGCAGCTCCGCTCCTGCACATGGTGAGCTTGAGCTTCGTTGGGTGGTAAGAAGGGAGGGATGACGATGACGAGGAGCAGCAGCAGGCGCAGAGGAAGTATGAGGAGGAAGAGGCGGTAAGTGGGGAGGGAATGGGTGTCGGAGAGGCTGGCAGGTACTGAAAGTGTAGGGCAAGGAGTTGGGTAGGAGAAACCTTGAAGGATCGTTTTCGATCACGTTGTGACTCGTCCTTTCCTTCGTGCTCTCTAACGGAAGGTAATGAGGAAAAACCACAACAAAATCCCTTTGACCTTTCGCTGCGTCTTGAAGATGCTTCCTCGACTGACAGCGGATCAATCAGACAGGTCTTGTCAAATCACTTTCTCACCGCGAAGTTCAGGAGCGGAGAAGACGCAGGGGGGGATTTGGGACTTCGAAGCTCCAACGGCCTGAACGTGTCCGATGACATTCTAGTATCTTTTGAAGACGAAGGGCTGCAGACATCAAATCACATACGTGCGCCCCGGGTCAAACTTCCAAGAACCTGGTCGAGCTTGACTCGCTGGTTTGGATCCCCCTCTCCAGCACCTGCCCGAGCTCAAGTCATCGGCAGCTTCTCCTCATGCTACCGGCGCCGGTCACCACGTCCTGCAGGACTCTCTTGACTCCGTGCGCGACCGTGAGCTTGACCTTCGACCCTTCACTGCCCAGCAGGCATTCTGAAGACACAAGTCAGCTTCCTCCTCCGCCTCCTCTCCCGACCACACCAGCCGCCTCGTCTGCCCTCATCCGGTCCGTGGGCCTCCCATCGATTGCAACCTGAGCGATGGAAATATCAACGATAGAATTGTTGGGCACAAGCGCATTCCAACCAGGCGATCGCCGATCTCGATGATCCCGCTCCTTCACATTCGTCACAGGTCGTTTGCAACCCAAAGTCTCAGCTCACTTCTGTGCAGGGCCGTTGGGGGTGAGGAAATCGAAGACCAGCTCTCCCTTCTTGTTCACTCTGAAATGAACCCCGACTCCTGCATCGTAAGATTAAGGACGTGACATCCACGAGGGGGTAACCTATGTTGTGCTTCCGAGGCCTGCCGTCGAAGAGAACCACCTCATCCTGACGCATCCCGTCTACATCTCACGATCACAAGCCTCCCTCGTCGCAACCTTTCGAACCTTGTGATTCACACCTGCTGAAGTGGAGCGAAGAATAAGTCGATGCTGGACATGTTGTAGACAAGCAATCTACCTGACCACAGGGCTAGACTTCTTGCTTCCTTTGCTCTTCGATTCCATCAGATTGCGGCAGGTGCATTGCAGGACATACCTCGATCGATCGACGACTTGATACGTCAGGATTGACCGATCCGACAAAACGTCGATTTGTCGGACTCTGCGGCGGAGTCGCGCTCTTTGAAACTCTCCTTCGCTCTGAGCTTTCTTGGCTTTCACCGGTCGCTCTCTTCTTCACTTGTAGAAGAATTTCATTCTTGTTGGGATGTCTTGAGAAGAAACCGAAGATGGTGTCCAAACCAAGGACTTCGTAATTGCTGTACAGTACCTGGCGATCTGCCTCCATGTAGGCAAAGTTTCTTGTTCCCGAGACAACAACGTTCGATTTTGTGCAAGATATTGTCAGCGTCGTGTTATAGTCACAACCAATACAATCCTTGGCTTGGTTATTAAGCTCCAACGATGCTCTAGGAACGTAGAGTTTCGTGACATGCTCCCCGTTCACGTAGGAGCTCTTGAGCAAATAATCCTTCTCATTGTGCTTCAGGATGCACAATTTTTCTGTGAATGGAAACGATGCTTTTGTTTCAATCCTCAATTTCGATTCACGTGAGACGAAATGCAGCTCGTAGGGTTGACTGGGACTCAGAGAGTTTTGACCGGGTTGGTGAATCTTTTCTGGAATTTGGCAAACGAGTTTAGGGGGGCTGCTTGTCGATCGTTCTTGACTGAGGTCTTCATTGCCAACTGATGTGTCACTTGCACCAGCTACTTGCACCTGGAAAGACTTTGAATTCCAGGTTGGGAGGCGCTATTCATTCTACCTGCTCGCTTGTGTGGAACTGGATCGGTTTTCCTTGGATGTTTTGCTCTCCGCCTTCTCGAGCAGAGGAAGGTGCTTTTTCCTCCTCCCTCGTAGCCTCTAGCTTCTTCAGATCTGCGTCCTTCTCTTGGAATGCGTTGAGGAGAACGAGGAAGTCGTTCTGAAGGCGATCTATGGCCTGCGTCAACTCATCGTTGAGTGCCTGAAGGCTGTGTGAGCGCTCTTGGAGTTCAACATGCTGCAGACGATCAACTCTAAGATTCTCGATGAGCCTCGAACTGATCTCTGCTTTCTCTTCCACCCGCATGAAAAGTTGCTGAAGCTGGCAATTATCAAGGTCCCTGGATAATGTTAGGAGATTAATATCTTGTCCTTTCGCTAGTATGTCCTTCATGCTGTAGGCTGGAGGAAGCTTTGGCCAGAGGATCTGCCTCAAGCTCCTCAGGGATAAGAAGAGCGCTTCCTCCTCGGCGCGCGTCGTCATTCGGTTTTAACCCTGCGAAAATGACAAGTTATCAGGCAGTCACGACAGCTTCTGAGGAGAAGTTTTCGAGGGTCTGTGGCTGAGCAAAGACAATTGTGATGATCAATGGTGGTGGTGGTGAGGATGATGATGATGGGAGGTGATGGTGAGGAGGAGAAGGAAGGAGAGAAGAGGTCGCGGCGGATCTCGAGGTAAAGCCATGAGCCCTCTATGTCCGCACAGCATCGTCGGGGATCGGCTTTGATTTGCAGCCAAGTCACCCCACCCACCCCACCCTTATTGTAAAAAGCCATGACTACCCCACCTAGATTTAGGTGTGAAGGGGGTGGATGGGTCGGAATCCCTTCATGGGGGTGGGATGCTTCATGGGGGTGTGGAGGGGTGGGTAGCGGCATGGACGTCAAGTAGGGGTTACAATCCCAGACGGAGAATAGTGACGAGGGGGTAGGTGGGCGTATTTGACTTAGATAGTAACTGTTATGTAACGGTTCCAACAAATCGGCGCGGCGGCCTGCACTGCTGTTTGACTCTAGTCAGACAGGCTGACTGATGGTTTCTTCCTGATCAAACAGAACAAGAAACATTCCAGCGACTCCGCAGCCTCGCAACCCTCGCACTCCTAGTCAGTGAGTGAGTGAGTAAGGGAGGGAGGGAGGGAGGCAGGGAGGGAAGCCAATCACAATGACTCACAGAGAGCGATTTGCTCATGTCAATGAGCTCGAAGAACTTTGGGGCCAGTTTGAGCAAAGTCTGAAGTGCAGGCGTGTCATTGCCTACAGCCAACGAAGTGAAGCAGGCCACTCACCTTGTGAGCTTCCGGGCATCTTTCTTGCATGCACAGCCAGATCGTGGACTTGTCGTGAGAAACCCGGTAAAGAAGTCGAAGCAACGGCTCAACCTGGAGTGAGAGTGAGAGCTATCAGAATCGGGCCGATCAGCCCGGGGCCCGCGAGCACGACGGGGAGGGAAGAAACTCACGAGCTTCACATTGAAGATGACATCGGTCCCCACAATCACGTCAAAAGGAGCATGTGAGGCTGGAAGATAGTCAGAGCACACTGTGGATTCATGACCAGGACCTCACTGGTCTCAAGAGTCTTGATGTCATCCTCATCGCTCCAGTTCACCTACAACGTTGGTAGCAGAGAGGAGATGTAAGATGAGATTGCCATCATGCAGGAGATCAGACCCGCAGGGCTGTGGGTGGAAAATCCTTGTTCACCTTCACAAAGTCATTCCCTCGTGCGAGGGCCATGCGATTGGGCCATGCGAGTACAAGGCTACAAGCGTACCTTGCTGTTCCTTTCCACGTTCCTTCTGAGGTTCTTCATCGCTTCTTCCGCCTCGGTCAGCACCACCTGAATCATCCTCAATGCTCCACTACTCCTTCCACTCCAGAGGCCTGCCTGTGCTCCCAAATTCGCGAGTATCAGCCCCAGTAGGCCGCACCCTGCTCCGACTTCCAACACCTTCGGAATTCATTACAAGGGATTATCGTGCAGCTCTCATTATTTTCACCGTTGTCGGTCTGTTTTTGGATTTCGCAGAAGAGCTCTTGAGTTTCCTCTTTTTGTTCGGAACTGGTTCTGTTCCCGTTGATCAAGACCAGTTGGGCAGCTGTGAATCATTCACCTTCTGGCCCTTCAGCGTTGCCCCTTTTCCTCGCCCCTTCATTTCCTTGAACAGTTGTCTCTAGGGATTCATCTGCCTTATCCCATCCTAAACGATCAAGTCCTCTTCGCTTTGCACATCGTTCAGGCCATTTCGGACTGGAAAATTCTCTTTCCTTCTCCTACCTCGAGGAAACATCCCAGGAAGAAAGCAGTTTCCCATATAATGCCACCTGTACCTTTTGGAAGTCACAATCAATACTTGTTGACATGCATTCAAACTCGATGATTACAGTTTTTAATGTCTCTCTCTTGTTCAATATCTATCTTACGCCCGCTCGCACATTTATACTGCACACTCCTGCAAACGAAGCAAGATTATCATTGCAGGAACGACATGGCAGGCACTTGTCCTCAATCATGTGTGACAAGTTACTCGCCTGGAGTTTGCAAGCTCGAAGAACACATCCGATGCTTCTGCTCCCGCCGCTACCGGCTCATACAGCACCATTAGATGCGCATCCGCCCGCCTAGTCCGCCTCAGGACCCGCTACCTACTGAGGGTGGTGGGATGTCCAGGGGTGGGGTGCCTGTCAGGTAGCCATTGGGTAGCACCAGGGGTTGGCCCGCCCCACGCAAACCCTGCAGACCCGGGCATCAGTCGCACAGGCATGCCAGCAGGTGCTATGCGGCAGGAAGCGCATGCCGCGGCAGCCTGGGCGATCACTGTCGCACTGATGATGGTGCCATCGAACGCTGAAGCTCTCCTCGCCCATTCGTCTGCCTATCGCACTTCTACCCCCTCCCTGCTCGGAAACACCCGTCTTTCGCTTCGCAAATCCCCCCTCGTTGCAATTCATCTTCGCGGCGGGAACGGAGAGGATTTGCAGAAGGAAGATGTTGGAACGCTGACACAGAATGGAGGCGAGAATGCTACATCAAACAAGACTTGTCCCCATGGAGTCGCCTTGTCTTCTGATGAACGTTGCTCGAATTGTGAAGTACTTGGTGCGTATCCACAGCATGCTGCTACTTTGTGATGAGGTGTTGCAGCTTTCATTCGTAGATGCGCCTTCGTCTTACAGAGACTAGGGGGCAAAGCAAACACTACTGAGTTTGCCAACACATGGTCATCTCTATTCTCATCGCTGAAGCCCATGACTGCTGAGTCCGCACGAGAGAATGTGGCCCCCGCGATGAACGCAACAGGATACTTCATCATTGAGGATATCGAGGGGAGCGAGGATAAAATGTTGGCTTGCAATGCTTTACGATGCAAATTTTGATTTTTTTTCCAAGGATGTCCTTCAGCGAGAAGGCACAGCGAACATGTCCCCACGGCGTTCCGCTGGATTCGCCAGAGCGTTGTATGGCATGCGAAGAAATATCATTCCTTCGTAGATGGTGATATGGAAGGCATCCAAGTCAAGTCTGACTTCGTGTAATCAAGTGAGAAAATCATCACGGAAGCCGGTGGCTCGATTGACACCATATCCTTTGCCGACAAGTGGAACGAGGTGATTGACAGCAATTGCCTCATGAAAGCTGAAAGTTGATACAAGGAGTTCAATGCTACTGGGTCTGCAGACGCAATGACTTCTGAAGCAGCTGCAACGAAGGTGCTTCTTTTTCTAGAAGTCTGAGGTCATGACTGTCTTCCAGGTGTCCAAAATTCTCGCATCGAGTGGATTGTTCTTGGTGATAGGTAAACGTCAAAGTAATTTGCATACATTTATCAGATCACAATGCCCAATAGATACAGAAGATCCTGGAATCAAGACATTCACAATTAGACCTCAACCTGAGGAGGTCTGTCAAGGATATATCAAAATTTCGCTTACATTGTTATCTCAGTGTCCTCACGGTGTCAGTTTTGCTTCTCAAGATGCATGCGACTTCTGCTCTCAACTTCAATTTGTGCAGGTTTGATTCTGCATGAGATCCTCTTTTTGCAACTCTCACGGATGATACAGGCTTGTGCTTATGTTTTGCAAAAGTCCGACGGACAGCTGACTGCAAAGGAATTCTGGTTCTAATGAGTTGTTCTTCGCATGTTCATCAAATTTGATTCTTCTTATAGCAATAAGTGGCGCCAAACTTTTCCAAATCAACCAGAGATACCAGAAGATCAGGTATCAGTGCGGAGTCAAGTGGATCTCAGATGTTTGAATCTTCATTTAGGCCAAGACAACCATCGCCCAAGTGCTCAACGCTACAGGAGTGTTCAAGTCAGCTCATGTTACAACCAGCCTTCGAACTTCTAAACAACATGCAGGACAACTGAAACGGAGGAGAATGACATCCTGTTTGAATTCACTGAGAATACCCAGGAGGCCTTTCAAGATTATCAGGTACTGCAGTTTTTCTCAACAGAAGTAACGGTTCAATTTCTGCTCAGCGTGCTCTGATTCAAGAGGCGATGTATGCACATGCAGAGAAAGAAAAGGAAGAGAAGAAAGAGGTTGGCTTTGTATTCAGTGATATTCTTTGAGATCTCGTCTGCTTTCAGGAAATCCAACAACAATTGGCTGGAGATGACATCGCTTACGAAATCCCCAAGTCTGATTCTGTACGAGAATTCATGTTACATGCCGGAACTGAGGCTTAAACAGGAAAAGTCAAAGAAAGTTGGTTTGGGTGCACTATTGGACTAACCAAGCCATCCAGAAGTCGGAGCCTGCCCACGGGTCGTACATTGAATGCTACTTCGGCAACAAAACAGCACAGCGGCAGGATTGTCTCGTATACGTACTATCAATGATACGCTGAGTAATGTAAACTCGCTCTGACGCTGCGTCGGACTCCGTCGGTCCGCGAGGCCATCAAGTGGGCTTCAAGTCACAGAGTCACAGTGTCGGACTTCGAGTCAAGTAGTGGCAATGATTTACGAGCCTCGGAGTCACGAGGCGAGTCACCGCCCGTCCGGGCCGCGGGCGGTGGGCCCGCCCGGGACCCTACCATATGGTCGGATTAGTGGGGGGGGGGGGGGGGGGGGGCATGAAGACTTGCCAGGTACATGGTGGGGTGGTAAAAGTAGATACATGCTGTATCAGACCTGGTGGGGTGGGTCAGCCCTCATTGGATAGGGTAGGGTGCTTGGAGCTTTGGAGCATCCGCATGTGCAATGCGCAGGGAGCAGTGATCCGAGGAGGACGAGGACGATGACAAGAGCAGCGAAGAAAGAGAGACTGCAAGAAAGGAAGTAGTTAGTAAGCAAGAGAGCAAATCAATGGTTTTGATGCGTAGAGGTAGACTTTTTGAGTTGAAACAGCTTGCAATCATATAGCACGATTGCATGTATAGAAAGGGGCTAGCTGGAAATGAATGCAGGAAAAAGAAAGATGTAGTATGGAGGATTGCAAACAATGGTAGATGAAGAGTTGAGTTGAGTGGTTTGACTGAAGCAATGATGATGTTGCTTGCCAGCAATTGTTCACCACTATTCAGAATGAGCGACGAAAGGTGTGCGGCCAACATTGCTTTGTCCTCCCTGACTGACGACACCCAGTGAGAATGAAGTTGACATGGGAGAGGAAGAAAATGACATGGAGGACGACAAGGAAGAACCCCAGGAATACCAGAAGCACGTTGACTCCACAGTGCACGACGAAGACGACCCAGGTCTCTCATGATTTTTCGCATTTCTGATCGCCTTGTCTGACATGTTTGCAGAGCTCCAGGAGAACCATGTTGAGTTGACGCCGATCAAGGATCGACTGACAACACCCTACATGACCAAGTATGAGCGAGCCCGCGTGCTGGGCACCCGTGCGCTGCAGATCAGCATGAACGCTCCAGTCCTGACGAGCGTCCCCGGGAGTGAGTCTGACCCGCTGAGGATCGCGATGAAGGAGCTCAAGGATGGCAAGATTCCGTTTGTGATACGGAGGTACGGAGAAGTCATTGACCAGGAAATCTTCTCACATTGTTTCTCAAGGTACTTGCCAGATGGCAGCTTCGAGGATTGGCCGATTGCTGATCTGATCTATGACTAAGTTATCCCATTGATGATTTCAAATTTCATCTTGTAAATATCGTTGAAGCTTCCGTTGACTTCACTTCAATCAAGAATTTATGAGGGCAGCCAAAGTCCTTTAACATCAAACATATTATTTTCAAGGCTTCGTCGTTTCATGCCGTTGCATTCTACTAACATGGTCATTCCAAATCGAAGATTCACACGATCTCAACTTACAAGTCTGTGTATCAGTTGAATTTGCTTTCCTTTCTTCTCAAGCTTGTCGATCACCTGATTGTTTGACTTACAAGATGAAAAAAGCCAACACATCACGCATACACTCTTGAGAGCGACATTGAGTTGCTGGGCATCAAACTGACTTTCCTCGGTTCCTTGCACCTGTAGATGTTCATTCAACCTCCCTAGTCCAAGAAAGGAGGACAGAAGGGCGAGGAAGATAAGAAGGAGCCTTCTGGGCGATCGAGATAGGCAAATTTACTATACCTGCGCACAGATGTCCTTGTATTGGCGTCTGAGATGAAGTATCTCTTCTAAGATCTCTTCCTCCAAGATCTTCACTTCGTCCTGTTCTCGAAAGTCATCAACACCCATCGGCGTCACCTCTGAAGCCACCTTGGGGATCTGAGTCTGCATGAAATCTGTTTTGACACAAACTTCTGTGAGCACAATCTCCCGATGGATATCACACAAGTGGACATCACCAGATATCTTAGACACCTGGCCTCCCTTCTGCCGCTCTGTTGGGCTCCTCTTCGCTTGCATGTTGGCTACCCGCATGATCAGCAAGGAGCCAGGAGCCAGCACGGCAGGAGGAACTACCTGTCTTGGGACGATACTTGACATCTTCCTCCAGGCTCTGCCTCACGCGGGAGCTCGCTGAAATCGTATCGTCAACTGTGCCTTGGCAGTCGAACGCGGCAACCTGTGGCAACTGCAGAGGCTGGACTCTTCTTCCGACGAACGCGCTTCGGGGCAGCAAGAGATGAGCCTTGGCTAGCGGGAATCCTTGTCGAGTTGCCGCCGCTCATTTCTTCCTGCAAAATCGACTTGTGCTGAGCCGAGAAGTCGCCGAGCGAAGCCTCGCACACCTGGAACGTTTTGGTTACACTCAATTCACGCGCGCGCGATAAGTTGTAGACAACTTTTGAGAGAAGTTGTTCGTTGATGAGTAGAACATTCTGCAAAGAAGATTCAAGCTGCCGTTTCTCAGACAGAATTGCTGTCTTGTCTGCTGCAATGGACGAGATTTCATCATCCTGCTACAATATTAGCCCTTGTCAATGAGCAATTTCATCAGGACCTGTACAGTGATGCGGCTTTGAGCAGTCTTGACCTGAACAGACTCAGTCGGCATTGATTGTAGCGTTGCAAACTGTTTCGATTACTTGATCTCGGAGTGTGAGGTTTTCGGTTCGTATTCCCTTGACAAGCTTGTCATTCATAACTTTTGCCCGCCGATCCACTCACCTCGTAGTCAGTCTCCAACCTTTCAAACTGAGCAAGCAGTGAGTTGACTCGCTCCTCTGACTGCTTCTTTGACGTCTGCCCTCAGCAAAGGATCATTCTCAAGTGCCTGAGGTCGAAACTGTTGCGCACCTTCAACATGGAACATTCCTGCTCCAACCGCAACAATTTCTCCGTGAGCTGCGTTGTGATGTCTTCGTCATCCTTGAGCTGTTAACGAGAATTGAGAACATAAGTTGGCAAGGCTTTCTTGCAAGTCACTTTGCGCTCGAGCTTCTCATTCACTTTGCGCAGTGCGACATCTGTATAACTGTCACTCACAACCTTCAGCATGGAAACCCAGCAGACCAGCAGCTTCAAGATCAGCCAGTGAGTGCTTCAGTCTCTGCAACTCATCATCTTTATGCCCGAGGTCCTTTCACAACGTCAGTTTCGATCAGGGGACGAGAAAAGATTTACACCTGTCTCACGGCCTGCAACTTAGACTGCAAGTGATAGTTTTCATCTTTAACCTCCGACAACCTTGTCTGTCGCAGAGACGCTTCAATATAGGGCATAGAGCAACCAAGAGTACTCCTCACATTCATATTCTGCACAGAGTCTTGGAGTTCTTGTACAATCTGCTTGTTGTGTCTACCCAGGGTCAGCTCTCAGAATGACAGGCAGCTCTTAGATCACTTCTTGATTGAGTCAACTTCGGTCTCATGTCGAATGTTGAGCGTCTTGACAGATTCCTATCACAGCAGCCACTCAGCTCCATCAACGGTCTACATGCATTGGACCAAACCTGAAGTTGAAGTTGCAGCTGTCGCTCAAGCAAGCGGTGCTGTTGATCCTCCTTCATGCCCACTCAGATCGCTTCAGCAAGCCTCTCTCTCATCCTACTCTCTCTCGAGCTTCCTCCGACTCCTTCAAACGCGTCTGTCCTACTTTCAGACAGGAGACAAAGTTGGTGGCAAATTCAAATCACCTGCAGCTGCTGCCTGTCATCCTCGAGCATCTTGATCTTGTCCTGATATTCTATTTCAGTCGTCATGGGTTTGTCCTGATTTCCTGAGACCTGCAACGTGCGCAAAGCTGAGAGAACAGCCTTGCTCGGCGGCCCGCCCGATCCATTCAGCGCCTGCAAACCATGTAGCATTTCAGCATGGGCCTCAAACATTAGTCAAGAACACCTGTAGGGGATGAGAGGAAGTCGAAAATCCTTCATAGTCATGATTCTCAAAGTCATGACTGCACAGGGGTCAGGCTGTGCAGGGAGGAAGACCAGAGGAATCAAGGCATGCTCACCGAATGTTCGCTTCCTTCAGCAGTGCCATTCCGGTAGATGCAAAGGCAGGTGATTCGAAGAGAAGAATGTCAGGAGCAGAGGTGTTGTAAGCTCAGTTGAAGACTTGTGTCTAGCGGATCAGTTGCTGTCGGATGAGACCGTAGCCGCTGCCGTCGCCGTCGCCGTCGCCATCATCGTCTATGGAAACATGAGCCGCCTTTTACCCGCCATTCGTGAAAAAATTCAAATCGGATACTCACGGATACTCACGGATACTTTTCACCATCGCAGAGGCCAGTGGGACGGTACCGCCGGGGGTGGCGCCCGGCCCGGCCGCGGCCCGGTCCGCCGGCCAGGCTCACGCTGCCGGTCCACTGAGGCGCCGGGCCCAGTGGGGTGCCAGACGCTTCTAGAAGAATTACTAATTATACTTATGATGATAGTATTTGTATCATATTCAATTATAACAACCTTAAAACCTTAGTGACATTACTTGAACTCCGACTCCGACTTCCCCACCATCCTCCTCATCCTCCTCCTCCCGACTCAACTTAGTCATCCCCACCATCCTCCTCCTCCTCCTCCTCCTCCTCCTCCTCCTCCTCCTCCTCCTCCTCCGAATCTCTGGCCTGGCAGTGGCCATCAGTCTCTCAAAGTGCTAGGGCAAGAAGTAGCAAACCTGAAGGACGGGAGAAGAAGGAGTTTTGCGCCAGCTGAGAAGCATGTCAGTGGCAAGCAGCCTGGAGAGCAGAAGGGAGGAGGGAAATCCCGATCACCTGCTGCCGTACATGGAACTTGTTCTCGAGGTGGACCTGGTTGGAGACGAGGCGGTTCTGTATGCTCATCTCCTTCTGGAAGATCGTCTCCCTGCCATGGCCGTCACTCCTGTAGCCCCTTCCTCGCAGCAGCGGACCTCTCCATCCTCAGCGGCCTCTCCTGCGGCTGCCGCACCACCAGCTTCTGCCTGGGAAGCTTGTAGAGGACCTCGAGTGGTGGATCGGAGCTGGGAAGGGGACGGGCCCGCCGCTGCCGCTCGATGAAGGCTCTGGAGCCCGCCTGCATCCTTCTCTGCACGTTGCTGCCGTCGGAAGGGAATGGCAGAGGCTCCTGCTAGGCGTCAGCTCGGCAAAGACCTTCCAGGAGGCAGCACCTGCTCCGGCGAGACGCTTGAATATGACGAAGGAATGTGAGGAAGGCGGACCCCTTCCTTTGCCACTGGTGGGCGGGGTCTCCGCTGCTCTACGCGCTTGTTCGGGGAGATGCTGGGGAGGATGAGGTCGGAGGAGACGTCCCCCTCCGGCGCGCGGCTCCTCCTCTTCTGGTGCTCGATGGCTGCAAGAGGAGGTCAGGGCGA